AGATGTCTGAGGGCCTTTTCCTGTCGTCACTTGACAGATTGTAGTCTTCCGGCAGAAATGAAACCCTATCCAAATCTGTTTTTCCAGCTTGATTTCATCCTAGCTTCTGTGCTCTGGTAACAGTAACAGATGGCCAGTAAATGTTTCCCCACAGACAGGGAGAGGAATAAATGGCAAGCCTCTATTCATGTCTCAGCCGCCCTTGGACTTGGTGATCACATCCTCAGTTAGCAGCGTGCATGCTGGAAGGAGTTTGCGATAGGCTGATTTTAGCCCAGGCCCAGCCCAATGTTTCCTCGGCTGAGCAAGCATCCATCAGCAAATATCGGCATGGTGTCCTTCCTGGTAGGTCACCCCTAATCTAGTCTTCGTCATCACTGTAACGTGCTGGAGAAATGAGTTCATCAGTTAGTTTTGTATACTTTTTTTTTCCCTCCCCAGTGGTCTTCAGGAGGTCCAGGGCTGCCCAAGAAATTCCTGGCCGTCTAGGCTAGTGGCTCAACACAAGGGCCTGTGATGTGCCTCCTAGATCCTACAGCATCAGGGACCCCCGGACCATCCTAGCTTTGCCAGGGCCCTTCAGGGCCCTTCAGGGCTGCACCGGGGGTTTCTGGGGAAGCAGGGAGTGCTGGGTGTGTGCTTGCACTTTAACTGCTGTACTAGCTCCTCACCCTAAATTCTGATGTATTTGTTTGAGAAAAATGAACTATGTATGTTGTTGATTTTGAAAGTGAATTGAGGACCAGAAGGGTCACTCGCCTTGCACACAGCCTGCTGGGGTTCAATACCCAGCATGGCATGTGGTTCTTGGAGCCCTGCTAGGGGGAATCCCTGAACACTGCTGGGTTTGGCTAAACACACACACACACACACACACACACACACACCACAAATCCAATGACAACAAATAAAAGTGAATTGAGGGCCGGAGTGATAATGTAGCAGGTAGGACATTTGCCTTACATTTGGTCGACCTGGGTTCTATCCCCAGCATCCCATATGGTTCCCCTGAGCACTGCCAGGAGTGATCCCTTAGTTCAGAGTGTGGAGTAACCCCTGAGCATCTCCAGGTATGACCCAAAAAGCAGAAAAAAAAAGAAAAAGAAAGAAAAAGTGAATTGATAAACAGAAGAGCAAATGTGTTCTGTGGTTGTTGTTTCAAGAGTGCAGCCCTGGTGTTCCCGCAGCCAGATGACCTGTCAGCGGCACCTGGCTTGCTCCGGATTGCTCTGGTTTCTGGCCTCTGTGCTGGCTGAATCAGTGAGCTGGTCTTCTCTTGTCAGCGTCAGGCACAGATGAGATATTACTGCGGGGCAAACCTAAGAGATTTTGTTCATCCAATCGGGTTGGTTAAGTGTAGGAAAGTTGTTGATGGAATTACACTGTATCGTCACCCTCGAGATTTAGATGGGCTCTTCCATAGAGAGGCAGTCCGTGGTAGGCTGTGGAAAGGTTAAGAGGAAAAAATGGCTATCAGCCCTTTCTTTTTAGTTAATTTTGACCACACCTAGTGCTGATCAGGGTTTACTCCTGGCTCTGCACTCAGGGATCATTCCTGACAGTCCTCAGGGGGTTCCTACGGGGTTCTGGGGATCAAACCTGTGTTGGTTGCATGCAAGGCAAACACCATCCCTGATGTACCGTTCTTCAACCATTTTGGAGACAGCTTAGAAATGTATTCTGTGCGAGGTATGTTCTGGAGCAATGTAATATTAAGAGACTATGTTAAGTGATGACATTAGCAGAAGTAAGACCATCTAATGCGCCAAGTTGGCTTCAAACGCTGCCTGTCCCTGTGCAGTCACCTGGGACAGGTTGTTTCACCACTGAACCTCGTGCGATTCTTCTTTGAAATGGGGAGGTGGCTCAAAGGACTGGAACATGAGTGAACAAACAAAAAATGCAGTGGATAAGCCCCTTGACATCATATCTTATTCATAACCAGCAATAGAACACAAATTGTCTACTGTTGCCTTTTCAGCAGATCTGAGTGTTGGAGTAAAATCTCAAATAATAATGGTGGGTCTGGTGTCAAAATATTGAATGTGATCAAAGTAGAGAGAGAGTAATGTGGAAATCATCTGCCCCACAGGTAGGGGGAGGGGGTGGGATGAGGGTATACTGGGGTTTTTGGTGGTGGAGAATGGGCACTGGTGAAGGTACGGGTGTTTTATTATATGACGGAGACTTAGACCTGAAAGCTTTGTAACTGCTCTCATGGTGATTCAATAAATAAAATGATAAAAAATGAAAAAAGTAAGGTGGAGTTCATGCACAATTTAATCAGCTAATCAGTGGCTGAATAAATAGCAGTACTCCTACATAAAAAAAAATGCAATGGATAATGGGGCTCAGGGGGTTGGCTCTGAGTGAGGTCATGAGTTTGATTTCCAGAGCTGCGCATGTGCACGGAGCACTGTCTTGGTGGCTCTTCTGTCTGGGGCTCCTGGCACTGTGCAGTGTATGCATGTACCACTGTTAATGGCCTGGGGCCTCCAGTGAGCACTAGCGTGACCTCGCATCCCCATGGGCATCCAGCCAGCGTAGGCAAGCCCCAGTCATTGCAGCAGCAAAGGGCAGGGCAGGGGGACTGTGTTTGTTTTGTTTTGAGGCCACACCCCCTGGTGCTCCCAGGCTACCTCTACTCTGTGAGGGAGTGGCTCCATGTGGTGCTGAAAGCGGCATGAGATCCAGGGGTAGAATCTGGCCTCCCTTCCTGTGGGCAGTCAGCCTACTCACTTCCTCTCTGGACCCAGAAGGCCAAAAACAAAACATGTTTTTGGTTTTGGTTTTTGGGCCACACAACAGGGGTTACTCCTGGCTCCGCACTCCAGAATCACTCCTGGCAGTGCTCAAGGCATCATATGGAATGCCAGGGATTGAACCCGGGTCAGTAGATGCCCAACCTGCTGTACTGTCACTCTGGCCCCAGGCAAAAACATTTTTTTAAGGTTAAGAAATAAAGTGGGGGGGCTGGAGCGATAGCACAGCTGGTAGGGCGTTTGCCTTGCACGTGGCCAACCCGGGTTCGATTCCCAGCATCCCATATGGTCCCCTGAGCACCGCCAGGAGTAACTCCTGAGTGCAGAGCCAGGAGTAACCCCTGTGCATCGGCGAGTGTGACCCAAAAAGCAAAAAAAATAAATAAATAAAGTGGGGAGTCATGCATACCTCATGTGAGGGTGTTTGGAGACAGATTTTTTTTTTTTTTGGCGGGAAGGAGATGCGAGCAGCACATGTGCTTGGGCACCAAGTGTGCTTGGCCATGTGGTCACAAGCAAAGGAGCTCAGGCAGCGTATGCCTGCCTTTGTTCAAGGTAGCTTTTATAGAGTTTTCCCCAAGCTTCCTCACCTGGGGCTTCTAGTTAAGAGTCCCTTGCTAGGGTTGCTAGAGTGTTTGCAGAGGGGGTAGAGTTAGGAGTGGTCAGTGGTCTTCTTTGAAATTCCTTTTCTTGGCCTTTGTTCCTGCTGGAGCTTCTCTCAGTGGGGGTGTGGAGTTACAGCTTTTTCTGGGTCTGCTCGTAAAGCCTTATCAGGATTTAGTTCTCCTGACTGCAATGCCGGAATTCTGTAGCTCCCAGATAGTTGGTTTTATTGCTTTCCAGGAGTTCCATTGCCACTGGCCCTTTCCTGCCTGCCTCATGGTCAGCCCACTTTTCATATCACATAGGGTCCCCCAAGTGCCACAGGAGTGATTCCTGAGCACAGAGCTAGAAGAAAAATCTGGGCACAGCCATGTGTGGCTCCCCCCAAAAAACAAATGAAATAAAATGATAAGCCTTTTCAAAAGGAAGAGTGCTGTGAAATTTTAAATAAAAGGGTAACATTTATTTATTGAGCATTTAATAAATGCCAGCTTTTAAAATCCAAACAGACCTATGACGTTGGTTGAACATTTTGCTCAAGTCTCAGCATATGTTGAGAGTCAGGTTTTGGACTCAAGTCTAGCTCTACTCAGGGACCTCTCCTGGCAGGACTGTGTGGGCACTGGGGATTGGAGGCTGACCCACAGCCTTCTGCTGCTCTCAGGGGCCAGGGGTCAGGTCCCACTGGGTGGTGTGCAGGGGCTGTTCCTGGCTCGGGTTGATTGGGGGTTGCTGCTGGTGAAGCTGGAGGTACCCAACGTGGGCATCCTGCATGCAGAGCACGTCTCTCCCTGAGTGCCCTCCCTGTCCTGTCTGCTGCTGCGTGGACTTCGAGCAGGCTTCGTTGCTACCGCTGTGGTTATTTCTCCAGAGTCCCCATTGTAGGTTCTTTGTTCTTTAAGTAATATTGCGTAGATTAATTAATTTGGGTTTTTGCGTCACGCCCAGCAATGTTCAGGGGCTACTCCTGACTGTATTCAGGAATCACTCCAGGTGTTGCTCAGGGAACCATATAGGACACCGGGGATCAAACCCAGGTTAACCACTTGCAAGGCAAGCACCCTACCCATTGTACTATCTCTCTGGCCCCTAACTGATTCAACCCTTGGTTGCAGTTCTCTCACTTCTTAGCTTGTTGTGCCATAGATGGCACGCATGTCTTGGGATCAGGGCTTCTAGAACAGCAGAACCCATGAGAGAACACTCGGGCATGCGGGGGGGGGGGATGTGCAGGGTGAAATTCATGGTCTTGCTTGTGTGTCATTCTCTCTAGCCCTGAGCCATGATGAGGTTTTGGGGTTGAAAGATGATGCGGTCCTGAGTAGAATGATAGATCTCACCTGACATTTGACATGGCTCAGGAACGTTGTTTTTTAACCTTCTCCTTTCTTCCAACTCTTGCCTTACACGCGGCCGACCCGGGTTTGATTCCTCCGTCCCTCTCGGAGAGCCTGGCAAGCTCCCCGTGGCGTATTTGATATGCCAAAAACAATAACAAGTCTCACAATGGAGATGTTTCACAATGGTGCCCGCTCAAGCAAATCGGTGAACAACGGGAGGACAGTGCCACTACAGTGCTAATATGCTGTTTAGCAGATTCCTAGGGAAATAGCTTCTTATCATCACTCCTTTCAGGTTCACTAAGAATCTTTCTCCGGATAAGATCAATTTAAGTACTCTGAAAGGGGAGGGTCAGCTGACCAACCTGGAGCTGGATGAAGAGGTTCTACAGAATGTTCTGGAGCTGCCCACCTGGCTGGCCATCACTCGCGTCTTCTGCAACAGGGCTTCCATCCGGGTGAGAGGGGCCGCTGCTCCTGCCTTTTGGTGTTGTTTTGGCTTGGGGGCCATACCCAGGGGTGCATAGGGCTTACACCTGCTTCTGCAGTCGGAGGTCACTGCTGGTGGAGCTTGGGGGACCACATGGGGTGCTTGGGGATTGAGCCCAGGTGGGCCCGCCATGTGCCAGGCCAACACCCTCCCCCTGTGCTGTTGCTCCTGCTGTTCTGCCTTCTCGGGGCAGCTCCCTTACCTCTGACTCTGCTGCCTTTGCTCTTGCAGATCCAGTGGACGAAGTTGAAGACACATCCAATTTGCTTGGTAATGACCTTCCTTGATCACAAGTATCAGATGGGGCGGGCTGGGGCCAGTGTTTAAAAGGCGAGTGTCCCCTTGGACCGGAGGGGGCCCCTCTCAGACAGTGCAGTTGTTGGACTGGCCATAGAACTGGGCTGATGGTGGTTAATGCTGACACACAAGATCTAGGAATCCTTATTTTGGCATCAGGTGGGAATTTTCCCCTGTAGGTCACTAGGGGGTCACTAGGACTCATGGTCCTAGGGAGGCCATGAAGTATGGGAGACAGAGCTAGGAATGTGCTTTAGCCCTTTGTGTTTTCTTTTCTTTTTTTGCTTTTTGGGTCACACACGGCAATGCACAGGGGTTGTTACTCCTGGCTCTGCACTCAGGAATTACTCCTGGCGGTGCTTGGGGACCATATTCTCCTTGTCTTTTTTTGACTTGGGGAGTGGGGTGGGTGTTGGGTCATACCTGGAGGTGCTTGGAGCTTACCCCAGGCTCTGTGCTCAGAGATTACTCCTGGCTGGGTTTAGGGGACCATATGCAGTGCTGGGGATCAAACCAGGAGCTGGCTGAATGCAAGGCGAGTAGCTTGCTCTCTGCTATCTCTCCAGCCCTCTTGATTTTTCAATACTTTGTTTTGTTACCAAGCTTTTGCCTTTAGATTTCTCTAATTTCTCAAAAATCCTGAGAAAGGAAACATTAGTTTGATTCATGTTGACTCTTGAGCGATCACCCAGTAAAAACCCTTCAGGGGTTGACAAAGGCATAAGGCATATCTTTAACCCCAAGACCAGAGTCCCTGAAAATAGGAATATTTCTTTAACTTGGATTTGTGTTTTATTTTTTTTATTATTTATTTTTTTGCTTTTTGGGTCACACCCAATAATGCAAAGGGGTTTCTCCTGGCTCTGAGCTCAGGAATTACCCCTGGCAGTGCTCAGGGGACCATATGGGATGCTGGGAATCGAACCCGGGTTGGCCGCGTGCAAGGCAAACGCCCTACCCGCTGTGCTATTGCTCCAGCCCCAGATTTGTGTTTTAATGTCCTGTTGTGATCTGATTCCATTCTCGTCATGAAGCGCTGCAGCTGGAAGGGAATGGAGAGGGGCAGATGAGGCCAGTCTGTGCTTTCTGTGTGTCCCACAAATATTTGCTGCCCCCTCCCGTGGACACAGGACTCCCCAGGGTCCTGGACTTTGGAGCTGGGTAAGAGTCTGTGCCTTGTGGTTTGTGTGCAGATATTCAGCCGAGCATGGCTTCTCTTTCAGTGTCTGGATAAGGTGGAGGTGGAAATGAAGACCTGTGAGGAGCCCCGGCCCCCCAATGGACAGTCTCCCATTGCTCTGGCTTCAGGACAGAGGTTAGTGGTTTAGGCAAGTGTATTAATAATGTAGTAACTGGTCCAGATCACTGGGGTTTTTTTGTTTTGTTTTTGTCTTGAACCATATGTGTTGGTGCTCAGGGTTTACTCCTGGCTCTGCACTCAGGGATCTCTCACGGCAGGCTCAGGGACCATATGTGGTGTTGGGGATCGAAGCTGGGTTGGCCATGTGCTTGGAAAGCACCCTACCTATTGTAGTGTTGCTCTAGTTCCCAGATCACTTTTTTTGTTAAAATTAAGCTTTTTTTTATTGAAACGTGTCATTGTAATTAGTTTGATTTTTAGGCCACACTCAACTGTGTTTGGGGGCTACTTCTAGCTCTAGTCTATTTTTTCATTTGCTTAGTTGATTTTGGGCCACATCTGGCGATGCTCAGGGCTTATTTCTGGCTCTTAGCTCAGGTCAAAGTCCTGGTGCTAGGAGACCATCTGGGGTGCTGGGGATTGAATCTGGGTTGCTCTCATATAAGACAAGTTCCCCACCTGCTGTACCTTCTCTCTGGCCCCTCATAGTGTTTTTGTCCACACTTATCTCCCCTCACAACCACCAAAGTGATGAGACACCCCGCCTCCAAAACCCCTGTTACTTTTAGTTTGTTCTTGCTACTTTTTCCCCCTCTTGTGGGGGCCACGTCTTTGGAGATAGAAGCCTGGGACCACTCCTGGCTATGCTGGGGGGATGTATAGTGCTGCTCCTTTGTGTGTATGTGTGTGTGTGTGTGTGTGTGTGTGTGTGCGCGCGCGCGCGCGCGTGTAGGCTATACCTGATAGGGATAAAAGTAAAACACAGAATCCCCGATGTCATTTTCATCTGAGAATACTTTTTTTTTTTTCATTCAATTGTTTTGGCTATACCCAGTGCTGCTTAGGGCTGAGCCCTGACTATGCTCAAGGATCACTCCTCAGTACCCCGTCACTGGGTAAAGCACGCGCCTTGCTGCTTTATTATCTTTCTGGCCCCTGGATACTTTCTATTTCATGTGGCTATTAACAGACATGAACTGGGAAGGAGAGGAAAAACTCAAGCACATAGTACTTGTTATCACATTCAATATACTTCACAAGGATCCCTTAAAATTTAAGACTAGAGCTGGGGTGGTAGTACAGTAGGTTAAGGTGTTTACTTTGCATGCAGCCAAACCAAGTTCAATCCCTGGCACCCCATATGGGTGCACTTTGGAGATAGAAGCCTGGGACCACTCCTGGCTATGCTGGGGGGATGTATAGTGCTGCTCCTTTGTGTGTGTGTGTGTGTGCGCGCGCGTGTGTGATCCAGGAGTGATCCCTGAGCATAGGGCTAGGAGTAACCCCTCAGTACCACTGGTTGTGGTCTAAAAACAAACAAACAAAGTATCTAAGACCTCTTTCATATTCAGTTTTCCTGAGTTGCCTCTATAGTACTTTTTTTGTAGAGGTGCTGGAGAGATAGTACAGTGGTCAAGGTACTTGTCTTGCAAGCACATGATTTGCGTTTAATCCCTGGTACCCAGTATGGTCCCTAAGTCCTACCAGAAGTGATCCCTGGCCACAGAGTCAGGAGTAAGCCCAGAGAACAGTTGGATGTGCCCCCTCCCCCCATAAAAACCTTATAAAAATAGTAGGGGTTGGTGAGATAGTATAGCGGGAAAGATGCTTACCGTGCATGCAGCTAACACTAACCTGAGTTCTATCCTTGGCACCCTATAAGGTCCTCAGAGCCCCACCAAAAGTGATCCCTGAGTGCAGGGCCAGGAGTGAGATTTGAACACTGCCAGGTGTGACATAAAAACAAAACAAAATAATATACGGAGATAAAAATACATTATAGTTGTGTGACATGACTTTTAAAGCCTTTTAATTCTATATATCCCCACCATACATAAACATAGAATTTTAAATATACCATTTAGTTTTTGCATAAACTAGATTATGGATTTTTTTGTGTGTGAAGAATTTCTCACGTTTTGTATTTTGACTCACTCTGTCTTTGAGGTCCGTTTAAAGTATTTTTTGTTTAGTCTGTTAAATGTAAAGACTTGTTTTAATTCTTTTTTGGGCTTTGTTTTTGGTAAGAATAGTTCATGAATTGGGACTGGGAAACTAATACCTTGTGTAGGGCACTTGCCTTGCATTTGGCGGGCCCAGATTTGATCCCACATGGTCCCTGGAGCAGCACCAGGAGTGATCCCTGAGTGTAGAGCCAGGGTAAGCCCCAAGCACTGCCAGGTGTGGGCCCACCCTCCCCCCACAAAACCCCAAATAGAAGTTATGAATTATTTATTATGAGTAGTTCATAACCGATACTGTACATTTTCAATTACAGCATATTTGAAGGCACATATTTTTCTTTTGTCCAAGATGAATGCATGGATTGATGCAGATGATGTTGATTTAATTTTTTCCCATTCTGATAGTCCTTACTCTTTGGATCGAGACCATTGATGATAGCTGTCTTCTTTCTTCTGGTGGTGGGAAGGTTTGAGCAACACCCAGCAGTGATTGGGGTCACTCATGGCAGTGCTTGGGGGACCGGCTCGTGCTGGGTGTAGAGCTGGGGTCTGCTGCACGCAGAGCACTGTCTTAACTCTGGGACTGATGATGATTGTCCTGGCCTGGTTTTTCATTGTGGGATGCATAAGAGAAATTAAATTTTTTTCTTCCTGTTGTTTTATTTTTCTATAATGAGTCAGATATTTGATTATTCTAACATATAATTTTATTTGTAGCTTAAAAGGAAATACAACTAGAGACTGCTGTCTGGGAAACACGATAATAACTGAATTGTCTTTGCTTTAATATCTTTTTAGTATTCAGTTCTAGGAAGTGCAATTTTGTTTGTTTGTTCTTTTGGGCCATACTCAGATGTACTCAGGGCTTAATCCTGGCTCTGCATTCAAGGATCACTCCTGATGGACTCAGGAGGCCATATGGGGTTCTGGGGATAGAACCCCGGTCTGCCTCATGCAAAGCAAGTGCTTTACCCACTGTACTATCTCTCTGGCCCCAGGAAAAGGCTGATTTCCTCCCTGCCCCTCCCCGAATGCTTATGGCTGATTGCTGGCTCTGTGCTCAGGGATCACTCCTAGCTGGCTTGGGGAACTATATGTGAAGCCGGGGTTCAAACCTGGGTTGGCTGCATGGAAGGCAAGTGCCTTACTCACTACTCTGACACTGGTTGCAGGCAGATCGTTTTTACAGTATGATTCAAAGTCAAGTTTGGGATCAATATTACTTTTTGTCTCTAGCAATATCCTCACACTGACCATACACCAAAGATGGCCTTTTCCTGGCTGTACTGTTCTCTTTGCCAGAAATCAGCCGACTTGGTGTTGTTATGTGGTTAAATATAATTTTATGTTTAATGGCAACTTGTATTTTACTATGAACTATTCATACTTTGTCCTGTTTTCACTGAGCTACTGTTTATTATTTTCAGTTAAAAAATTCTCCATGTTTTAGAGATATTAGTCCTTTGTGATATAAATGACAGAAACATTTGTTCTTTTTGGTTTGTTGTTTCCAGGATTTGTTTTGGGCGGGGCAAGGGGGATGTGGCCCACATCTGGTGGTGCTTAGGGCCTGTTCCTGGCTCTGCACTCAGGGATCACTCCTGGCAGGGCGTGGGGACTTTCCCTCTAGTCATTGCTGTGGTCTGGGGTCTGCACACTTGGCTCTAGTGTTCTCACACAGGCTTATTGGGGAGGTCTCTCTCACACACCCTCTTTCCCCAACCTGGCAGCTGAATGGAAGTGCTATAGGGCTTATGCTCAGCTTGTTGGGGTGGTGCGTGGATTTGAACTCATGACTTCAGGTTTGCAGGGCAAGTGCTCCACCCAGGAGCTGTCCCTGGGCTCTGGTTGGCTTTGTTGTTTTTTGGGGAGATCACACCCAGTGGTTCTCAGGGAACCCTGTGGTGCTGATCAAATTCAACAAATTATTCGGAGTGTGTGCTCCATCCCTGAGCCCTGGCTTCAGTGCCCAGGTGCTATCTTTTGTAACTAGCACTGGTTCCATCTTCACGTCTGAATCTCTCTGTTTTCCACATAATGAAGGACTTCAGGTTGGCCTTTATTTTTTCCCTTTGCTCTCTAAACCTCACTGGGGAAATGCAGCTATGGTTGGAACTGTTCTCTCTCTCTCTCTCTCTCTCTCTCTCTCTCTCTCTCTCTCTCTCTCTCTCTCTCTCTCTATTTTCCCTGTCCCTCTCCCTGTCCCTCTCTTTGTCCCTCTCCCTGTCCCTGTCCCTGTCCCTCTCTTTGTCCCTCTCCCTGTCCCTGTCCCTGTCCCTCTCCCTCACCCTCTCCTTCCCCTTTTGGTTGTTGGGCTACACTCAGTGATGCTCAGAACTTAATCCTGGCTCTGTGCTCAGGAACACTCCTGGTATGTCCAGATGACCTTATGGGATGTCAAGGATCGAATCCAGGTTGGCTACATGCAAGGCAAATGCCTTCCTTGCTGTACTATAGCTCTGGCCCTATTTTCTTTTTTGGAAGAAGGGTGTCTTTGAGCTGTAGCTAGCAGTGTTCCAGGGCTACTTACAGGGCTGTTCCTGTCAGAGCTCAGGGACTTGTGGTACAGGGATGAAACAAAGGGTCGGCTTCATGCAAGGCAAGCACCTTCACCCTGGACAGTATGTCGGACCTCAGAACTCTTCTTGACTCTGTTCCACTGTGTTAAATCTGGACTTGTTTATCTAGCTGTACTTCTTTTTTCCTACCACCTTTGCAGAAGATCCAGTATTTTTGAATATTTTATGGAAAAATAGTATTTTCTTTCTGTAGTCATACCTCTCCTTGAAGACAGCATCTTAATATTTAATTATATAGCATGTTGACTATATAAATGTTTTAAAATATATTCCTCTTTGTAGGAGATTGTTTCCAGATCAACTCTCTTAGTCTATGCTTTAAGAAAAAAAAATCCCACTTAAATAAGTGCCAGTCAGGAGCTGGAGCAATAGTATAGCAGTTATTTATTTATTTATTTATATGTAGGAGTACTGCTATTTATTCAGCCACTGATTACTGATTGAATTGTGCATGAACTCCACCTTACCTTTTTTTTTCATTTTTTTATAATTTTATTTATTGAATCACCATGAGAGCAGTTACAAAGCTTTCGGGTCTAAGTCTCTGTCATACAATGAAACACCCGTACCTTCACCAGTGCCCATTCTCCACCCCCAACAACCCCAGTATACCCCCATCCCACACCCTCCTCCTACCCGGAGCAGATGATTTTCACATTACTCTCTCTCTACTTTGAACACATTCAATATTTTGACACCAGATCCACCATTATTATTTGAGATTTTACCCCAACACTCAGATCTGCTGAAAAGGCAAATTTGTTTTCTATTGCTGGTTATGAATAACATATGATGTTGTGTGGCTGCAGTAGTGGCCGCGTGATTTTGAAATTCCAAAATTTTAACACTTAAATCTGGAGGGATTTCTGCCAAAACATGCTGGGTTCCAAGATTTGCTCCTGAGCCTCTGGGATCATGGCCGTTAAGCAGCTTGATCAGGAGTCAGAAAGGCCGTTTGTGGGTGATGACTTGGGGTCTCGTTGGGGTGGGGAGGACAGGACCGACTCCACCCCCATCCCATGAGGCCCAACATGTCTCATCACTGCAGGCCAAAGCCTGACAGTCCAGTGGCCTCTGGAGGATGGTGGCCACCGAGCCACCAAGGGGGAGCAGGTGGAGGGATAGCACCCTTTCCCCCCTGGGGTGGCCTGGCGACAGTAACCTACTGTGGGGTCCGGACACATTTCTGCCCAAAGCCGCTGGGTTTCGAGATTTGTTTCTGAGTCTCTGGGATCATGGCCATTAAGCAGCTTGATCAGAGAGGCCGTTCGTGGGTAATGACTTGGGGTCTCATTGGGGTGGGGAGGACAGGACCGGCTCCACCCCCATCCCGTGAGGCCCTGCGTGTCTCGTCACTGCGGGCCCAAACCTGACTGTTCAGTGGCCTCTAAAGGATGGTGGCCACTGGGCCGCCAGGGGGAACAGGCCAAGGCACGAAACCCATTTCCATCTGTGTTGGCCCAGCACGGTAACCTACTGCAGGGACTGGATGCATTTCTGCCAAAAGCCGCTGGGTTTCAAGATTTGTTTCTGAGTCTCTGGGATCATAGCCATTAAGCAGTTCAATCAGGAACCAGAGAGGCCTTGCCTCCAATTATATAGCTGAGCCGGAGGTGGTTTGTGGGTGTGTTTCCCACATACCTAACTTTTGGCCGTTTACTTTCTTGGTAAACTTTGCCCCAAGTTTTTGGGGTCTGGCCAAAGGCACAGCAGCAATTTTGGGGTATCTGGAAGTCTGAAGGCGCCATTAGGCTGCTGGTGCACTCACCTCACAGGTACAAATTGACCTGCTGGCGGCACCATACCCCCAAGGAGCAATAGTATAGCAATTAGGGCACTTGATTCGCATGCAGCCAACCCAGGTTTGATTCCCAGCATTCCGTATGGTTCCCTGAGCACTGCCATATGGTGATTCCTGAGTGTAGAGGCAGCAGTAAATTCTGAACATCACCAGGTGTGGCCCAAATACCAAACAAACAAACAAACAAAGCCTCAAAAAAACTAACCCCAAAACGTAATAAATAGTGCTACAGTAAAGAGTGCTAATCACCCCTTAAAATTTTAGAAGTTCAAAAAAAGTTCAAGACAGGAGAGGATAAAAGAAGTTCAGCCGTGATTCTAGCACCCAGAGAGAGCTGGCACTGCCCTCCACCTTGCTTCCCGTCTTCCAGTGTAACGGCAGCGCGGTCCAGCATGATGCCCATCATTCTCCGTCCTTGTTTGTTGTAGTGAGTATGGCTTTGCTGAGAAGGTGGTGGAGGGCATGTTCATCGTGGTCAACTCCATCACCATCAAGATCCACTCCAAGGCCTTCCACGCGTCTTTCGAACTGTGGCAGCTCCAGGGCTACAGCGTCAACCCCCACTGGCAGCAGAGTGACCTCCGCCTCACCCGAATCACGGAGCCCCGCCGCGGAGAGGTGACTGAGAGCCGAGACCTGGGGCCCGCCTACAGTGGCCCTTACCAGGTCACACTCCTGCTGAGAGCCTCCCGCTGCCCCACCCCCGTGTCCCTTTCCTAGAGCGCAGGCATCCCTCTGCCCAATAGTCTCGCTCCCTGCTGCCCACTGGCCTTCGTGGGTCCGGTCTCAGCTGGGGCGCCTTGTGTCTCACCATGCGGGTCTTGGCCCTGGGACTTCCTGCCACCTGGTTCGTGGCACCCACAGAACTGAGGGAGTTCTCTTTTCCCATTCAGGTTTTAACCTTTAAGGAAATAACTTGGCAGACACTTCGGATTGAGGCAGATGCCACAGACAATGGGGATCAGGACCCAGTCACAACTCCGTTGAGGCTGATCACCAACCAAGGCCGGATCCAGATAGCCCTCAAGAGGAGAGTGAGTCTGCACTATCTGCGTGCTGGCAGCTGTCTCCTGTTCTCACAGATGGTCCCGTGCGAGGGCATCCCCTGCCAGCATGTGCAGGCAGTTGCACAAGTGGTGGCGGCAGGGGGAGAGCTAGAGTCCAGTGTGGCATGGTGACTCCTCGGAAAACTGTCTCCCATTCTGTCACCGTGGTTTTGAGGACCCCGAGTCTTTGTTCTGTTCTGGGGGCTGTATCCTGTGGAGTGGTACTCAGGGGCTATTCCTGGCTTGGTGCTTGGGGCTTGCAGCTGCTGTTGCTCCAGGGACCATGTGCTGGGGACTGAGTCCAGGCTCTTCACACGTCAAGCATGTACTCTCTCTGGCCCTTGAGCCATCCCGTTAGCTTGAGAACCCCAGTTTGTCCCAGTTTGTCTGGTTTCAGGACAGACAGTTGACTGCTGCTGTTTTTTTTTTTTTTTTTTTTTTTATGATAGAACTGGTTTCAGTACTCCTACATTAAAAAAAAATAGGAACTTGTTGGTAGTTTTGCAGGGAATTGATTCTGCAAAGTGTTTTATGTTATTTATTTATTTTGGTTTGGGGCCAGACCCAATGATGCTCCGGGGTTACTCCTGGCTCTGCGCTCAGGAATTATTCCTGGCAGTGCTTGGGGGACCATATGGGATGCCGGGGATTGAATCTGAACCCGGATAGGCTGTCTGTAAGGCAAATGCCTTACCCGCTGTACTGTTGCTCTGGCCCCTGAAAAGTGTTTGATGCTTTGCTTTCACTTGCTGGGAGTAAGCCAGCTTGGACATGGAGCAGGCCGTGACTACTGGGAGGCATTGGGGCCTTCTCAGAGGCTCAACTGTCTCCTCTCTGTGGTTCTTTAGACCAAAGACTGCAATGTCACGGCCTCCAAGCTGATGTTCCTGCTGGACGACCTGCTGTGGGTGCTGACGGACTCGCAGCTGAAGGCCATGATGAAGTATGCAGAGTCACTGAGTGAGGCCATGGAGAAGTCAGCCCAGCAGAGGAAGAGTATGGCCCCCGAGCCCGTGCAGGTCAGAGGCAGTGTCCCTCGGACCAGGCTGACACCTACTTGGTGAAGTTGGGACTTTCATGTAGCTTCTTTGAATCCCCTCTCCCCCTTCCCTACAAGTGCTGGCTACTGCAGGAATACTCCTGCCCATGGAACCTTTGCTCTTTTGAAGTACGCACTATGAGCAGGTTATGTGATGTGATGTGATTGGCACTGCTGTAAAAGTGAGCACCCTGCCATGAGAGCAAGAACACCTGACTCTCCTTTCTCAAAGAGGGCACTTTAGGGAGACTGCCTGGAGGAGGTGTTGGAGCATCATTTGACTAAGTCTTGTGGGGCAAGAGCTGGAGGCCTCCTTCAGACTACAGGATGCTACTTTGATACTTAACGATGCTGATTGTACCCAAAAATTTTGGTGTGTGGAACAGTAGGTAGGCAGACGGGTGGACAGTTTTGAGAGGGAAGGAGCAACCTGCTACGAGCTGGATGTCCTAGCTGGAGAAAGCCTGTGACAGAGTCTCTCAGGGTCCTGTATTGTTTTTCTCTCTATTGCTTGTAGATCACCCCTCCTGCCCCCAGTGCCCAGCAGTCCTGGGCACAGGCATTTGGTGCCAGCCAGGGCGGCAGCAGCAGCAGTAACCGCCTGAGCCAGTATTTTGAGAAATTCGACGTGAAGGAGTCCTCCTACCACCTGCTCATCTCCCGCCTGGACCTGCACGTCTGTGACGACAGCCAGTCCCGGGAGCCAGGTACCACACGGGCACAGCCTGCCCACAGCCCGCCGTGGCCTTCAGTGGGCCCCTGCCCCACTGTGGCCATTTGGGGGTGGGGTGAGCTAGGGCAGGGGGGAAGGCAGCACTGTCACCTTTAAGGTGCAACCAAATCGCCCCTAAGACAAAAAAAATATGGATGTCGAGGGATAGTCCAGTGGGTTTGCGCTGTACTTGACTTGCATGTGCTGACCCGGGTTCAATTGCTGGGACCTCATGTGGTCCCCCGAGCCCCGCCAGGAGTGATCCTTGAACACCGACACCATCTATGGCTCCAGGGATTGAACCCAGGTTGTCCATGTGCAGGCAAGTGCCCAACCCACTGTACTGTCACTCCAGCACCATCTTTATTGTCTTTTTTAGGTGTCTCTGCGAACAGACTCATGGGGGGTGCTATGCAGCTTACCTTCCGCAAGATGGCCTTCGACTATTACCCCTTCCACTGGGCAGGTAGGCGAATTCTGGGTGGAGGCAGCTGACTGCCGACTCCTGGGCTCGTCCCTGCCCGCCTGCCTTTCCGGCAGTCCGTCGCCTCTGTCCCTCCACTTTCACTACTTTAGGGACTCTAGTCTTCTTCAGCCAGAGATGGCAGCCACGGGCACCTGCTTTTCCAGGGAAGCCCCAGAAGAATCTGCTTGCTGATGGTTTTTATTTGTTCCAGAGAATTCTGGGTGGGGATAAGGGATCAGAATCTGAACTAGGACTATACTCGTGGGAAGAATATTGTATCTTATCCATATCTCACACCTTAACGCAAAAGTCAATTTAAAATGGATTAAGAGGGGCTGGAGTGATAGCACAGCGGGTAGGGCATTTGCCTTGCATGTGGCAGACCCGGGTTCGAATCCCAGCATCCCGTATGGTCCCCTGAGTACCGCCAGGAGTGATTCCTGAGTGCAGAGCCAGGAGTAACCTCTGAGCATCGCCGGGTGTGATCCAAAAAGCAAAAAATAAAAATAAAATAAAATAAAATGGATCAAGAGATCTGACTGGAAACTGAAGTGGTACGTTGAGGAAAATATAGGCAGAATGCTCCAAGATTTGGACCTCCCAAGTTATCTTCAATAATATGATTCCACTGGCAAAGGCAACAAAAACAAAAAATAAAGAAATTGGACTATATCAAGTTAAAGAGCTTCTACATGGAAAAAAAAAAACAAAACCAAAAAACAAAAACAAACAAACAAAAAAAAAAACAGAGGCTAAAACTAAAAGACAGCTAACTAAATGGGAAAAAATATTTGCATTCATTTACATCAGATAAAGGATTGATAGCCAGGATATATAAAATATTTACAAAGATCAATAACAGAAAAATCTGAAACCCATCAAAAAATGGGAAGAGCAAATGAACAGACATTTCTCAGAGGAAGACAGGTGGATGGCCAGAGGCACATGAAAAAGTCCTCAGTATCACTTATCATTAGGGAAATCCAAATCAAGATGATAGTGAGATGCCATCTCACACCAGTGAGATCAGCACATATCAGAAATACCGGGAACAGTTCTGTATTTTTGGGAATGTGTTGAAAAAGGAACCGTCGTCCACTGCTGGTGGCAATATTGTCTCTTCAACCCCTGTGGAAAACAGTATGGAGAGTCCTCAGTGAACTAAGGCTTGAGCTACCACATGACCCGGCAGTTCCATCTGAGTATCTACCCCCAGGACAAATTTTTTTTTCATTCAAAAGGACATTTTCACACTTATGATTCATAGCACTTAGTGCAGAACCAGCCTAGGTATCCCATGGCGAATGAGTGGATTGTGAAGATGTCTATATATACATTGGAATACTGTACAGCTGCAAGGACTGAGATTCTCGTGCAGTTTGCTGCAACCCAGTTGGAACCGGAAGATGTCATGCTGAGTGATGCCAGGACAGCCACATGATGGGGGAACAGGAGTTGGGGCCTCTGTTGTACTGATGATATGGGAGAGTAGTCTAGCCACCTACCCAAAGCACACACTCAACAAAACTGAAAATATGAGATAGAAACTGCAGGTGCCAAACGTTGAAATGTGCCTGTCATGGTGGTAGGCGGCAGTGGGGGACGGGACAGGATGGGACAGGACGGGACATAGGGACACTGGTAGAATGAAGCTGACATTGGTGGTGGGATTGGTGTCAGAATATCATGTGCCTCTGTTTACAATAGCTAGAATCTGGAAAAAACCTGAGTGCCCGAGAACAGATGACTGGTTAAAGAAACTTTGGTACATCTACACAATGGAGTACTATGTAGCTGTTAGAAAGGATGAAGTCATGAAATTTACATACAAGTGGTACTACATGAAAAGTATCATGCTAAGCGAAATGAGTCAGAAAGAGGGACAGACATAGAAAGATTGCATTCATCTGGGGAACATAAAGTAATAACATAGGAGACTAACACCCAAAAGTGCCTGAGATTAGTACCAGGAATTTTGCTCCATGGCTTGGAGGCCAGCCACATATGCTAGGGTAAAAGGCAGCTCAGATAGAGAAGGGAGCACCAAATAAAGGGTGTTGGGAGGATCCTCCCAGGATGGGAGAAGCATGCTGAAAGTAGACTATAGACCAAACATGATTGCCACCCATTGCCTCTCTTGCAAACCACAACATCCAAAAGGAGAAAGAGAGAACAAAAGGGAGTGCCCTGCCACAGAGGCAGGGTGGGCTGGGGGGGATGGGGGGTGGGAGGGATACTGGGACCCTTGGTGGTGGAAAATGGGCACTGGTGGAGGGATGGGTATTTGATCATTGTATAACTGAAACCCAAGTAGAAAAATTTGTAAGTCTACAACTGTACCTCATGGTATTTCACTAATAAAAATTAAAAAAAATTATTTTAAAATGAAAAAAAAAAAGAATATCATGTGCCTGAAACTCAACTAATTAAGTGAAAATTTTCCAAAAAGAATCTTGATCCAGACTAAGTGCTTCTTGTGCCTGCAGGTGATAGCTGCACGCACTGGGTGCGGTACTGTGGGGCCATGGAGACCCGGGAGCAGTGGGCCGAGAAGCTGGTGACAGAATTTCAAAGGAAAATGGAGAAGTGGCACGAGGAGACGGGTCTGAAACCGCTCTGGCACCTGGGCGTGGACTCTCCGTTCCGGAAGAAAGCAGGTGGGGGGTGAGCAGGTGGAGGACCCTGCTACCTGGCCGCCACTTGCTGGGTCAGGGGCGATAACACACTGCAGTGACTAGATTCTGTCCTGGTCAGGGGTGATAACACCCTGAATGGCTAGATTCGGTCCTGGTCAGGGGCGGTAACGCCCTGAGTGACTGCATTTGGTCCTGGTCAGGGGCGATAACACCCTGAGTGGCTGGACTCGGTCCTAGTCAGGGGGGATAACACCCTGAGTAGCTAGACTCGGTCCTGGTCAGGGGCGATAATGCCCTGAGTGGCTGGACTCGGTATTGTCAGGGATGATAACCTCCTGCAATGACTAGACTAGGTTCTGGTCAGAAGTGATAATGCCCGGCTGTGTCTAGACTTGGTCCTTAATGTCCTGCAGTGGCTAGACTTGGTCCTGGTCAGGGGCGATAACACCCTGAATGGCTAGGCTCAGTTCTGGTCAGGGGCGATAATGCCTTGGCTAGGCTTGGTCCTGGCTGATTATTCCAGCTTCACCCCATGCAGAAGCAGCAGCAGCCTCTCAGCAAAGTCCTCTTGATCCTTAGGCAGGTGTACTAGGGAGAGAGCTGCCCTGCCCTCTAGTCACTGGCCATGACCTGGACCCTGGGGAGAGTCCAGTTGATAGGTTCCGTGTTAGTGTTTGTGCGATCTTTACTCCAAATTCTGTTCCTCGTGCTTGAGACGTGAGTATGCGGCCATCTTTCCCACCATCTAATTTTTATTTAGATTCTTTCTCCAGTCCTCGCAAGAACCCCTTGGAGAGAAGGCCCTCTCAGGGCCAGCAACCTGCCTTTGGGCCCCCGGCATGGAATCGTTTACGCTCGAGCTGTCTGGTCATCCGAGTCGATGACCTGGACATCCACCAGGTGAGGCTCCTGGACCCAGGCCGACGGGTGGGGAAGGGACAGGCAGCTTCTCTCAGAGGGGTTTTCTTTCCTCAGAGAAGTTCTTCTCCGGGCGCTTCTTTGTAGATGCTAACAGGGACTGGTGGTTGCATAGGTCTCCACAGCGGGGCAGCCCAGCAAGAAGCCGTCCACACTCCTTTCCTGCAGCCGGAAACCTCGCGACACACCCACTCAGGTCTCCGCCGTCCATATTGAGTTCACAGAATATTACTTCCCGGATAATCAGGAGCTTCCAGGTAAGCTGGGAGGGTGTCCCCGCTCACCGTTTAGGTCATGCTCTGCATTGTGGGACCCAGGGGCCGTTTCCAGTGTTCTCATTTGTCGTTTTAGGAGCTTTAGGTGTGTGATTTAGTTTTGGCAGACTTCTGTTAAAAGTCTCTATCTTGTGTAAATCTCTGCCTTATAGCTTTAATTATTATTTTTAAAAAAAATTTGTGCTACTGAAGGTAGCACCCAGGGGTGCTCGGGTGCTACTCCTGGCTCAGTGCTCATGGAAGTGCTCAAGGGACCATGGAAGTGCCAGGGAGGACACAAGGGATTCTGCACACAAAGCCTGCAGTCCTCTAGGCTATCTCCCCAGTCCTATTTCTTTCTTTTTTGGGGGGCATGAGGGTGAGCCACACCCACCAGTGCTCAGGGGTTACTCCTGGCTCTGCACTCAGGAATTAGTCCTGGCGGTGCCAGGGATCGAACCCAGGCCGGCCGAATTCAAGGCAAGTACCCACCCCGCTGTACTATTGCTCCGGCCCCCTACCTTTGCTTTCTTGATAACAACATGAATATTAACAGTTGAGAGTTGAAGATACCATTTTGGTATATGGAGTTTCTTTCCCCCCTTCTCCTTTCCAGTTCCCTGTCCCAATCTCTACATTCAGTTAAATAGTCTCACGTTCACCATGGATCCTGTCAGCTTGCTTTGGGGAAACCTCTTCTGCCTGGATTTATACCGCAGCTTGGAGCAGTTCAAAGCTATCTACAAGCTGGAGGATTCGAGGCAGAAAGACGAACACCTGGACATCCGGCTGGATGCCTTCTGCTTGAAGGTAGGTGAGAGAGGACCCCGTGTCCTCCTATGGCTGTCACCCAGGGTTCGGCTCTTTCTTCCTGAGAGAAGTAAGAAAAGCAGATCCTGAGTGGCCTCTCATGTGTGGAGGCTCTGGAGAGACTCGATGGCCGTTCTGGTTTTTTTTCTTTTTTTTTTTTTTTCTTTTTGGGTCATACCTGGCGATGCACAGGGGTTACTCCTGGCTCTGCACTCAGGAGTTACTCCTGGTGGTGCTCAGGGGACCATATGGGATGCTGGGAATCAAACCCGGATTGGCCGCGTGCAAGGCAAATGCCCTACCCGCTGTGCTATCTCTCCAGCCCCTCAATGGCCATTCTGAATTGGGTTTCTTTTCCTCTCAAGGTGAGCTTCCCCCTGGAGAAGAGAGAGCGGGCAGCGCCGCACCGGCCGCAGGCCCTTGCCTTCTCTGTGTCAGGCCTGACCGCCACCAATACCCGCCATGCTCCCCACTGTAGCGCTTCCGACCTCCAGAGTCTCTTCCGGGCTTTCGCGGCTTCTGAATTCTTCCATTCCAGCTCTGTCCACTTCCCCAAGGCACCCGGTGCCTTTGGCCTCCTGCACATGCTGTTTCTGCACCACGCCTTCCAGATGGACGCCCGCCTCCCCCAGCCCGGCGCCCTTCCTCCTCAGAGGCCCCAGGCTTCCCAGGACCTCTGGGCCATCCACTTCACCAAGATCTCTTTGGATTTTGAAGGAACGGAGAAATTCGAAGGTCACGCCTTGAATTTTGTTGCTCCTTTCCCCTTGTCCATCTGGGCCTGCCTGCCCTTCCGTTGGCAGCAGGCCCAGGCCCGGAAGCGCCTTCTGGCCACAGAAGGGAGGCTGAAGCCTTCAGCGAGCTTTGGCGGCCCCAGCCCCTCCGAGACCCTCACTGGGGACACGGTGCCTCACCAGCGGTCAAAGACCGAGCAGGACTTGAAAAGCTTATCAGGCCTGACTGAGGTCATGAAGGTTTTGGAAGAGGCCAGCAGCAGGGCCGACAGCAGAGGGCCCCTGACGGAGCTGGAGGACGCGGCAGACGTCCACGTGCTCGTCCACTCCCCGGCACGCGTGTGCGTGAGGCTTGACCACTACCAGTACCTGGCGCTGCTCCGCCTCAGGGAGGTGCTGCAGGGCCTGCAGGAGCAGCTCGCCCGGGACACGGAGGCCCTGACCGGGGCTGGCCTGCGGGACCGGACCGCGTGCATCGGGGTCCTCTTCCCCAGTGCTGAGGTGGCGCTACTCATGCAGCCAGCTCCCGGGGCCGCCGAGGCCGACTCCGGGGGCTCCGACAGCACCAGCCTCATCGATTCCGAGCTGTCCCCATCAGAGGAGCGGGAGCCAAAGTCGGACAGCTCCTCCGAGCAGGGCCTGGCCAGCCCTGCCAAGGCTCCCGGGGATGGTGGCGTGGAACAGCCCGACGCGGACCCTGCCGGGCCCCGGCTGCTCTCCGGCAACGGGGAAGGGCAGGGCGTGGCGTGTCCTGCACCGGGGCCTGCAGGGAAGGGCCACGAGGCCGTCGATTCCCTCCATGCCAAGAGACTGAGCAGAGCCCAAGCGTCCGGCTCACCGTCCGCCTCGAAGCCTCTGGGCGCCAGGGACAGCGCGGTGAATGGGCAGGGCGAGCTGGTGCCCTTGAAGAACATAGAGGGAGAGCTGTCCAGTGCTATTCACATGACCAAGGATGCCACCAAGGAGGCGCTGCATGCCACAGTGGACCTCACCAAGGAAGCTGTGTGTATGACCAGGGACGCTTTCAGCCTGGGCAGAGATCGAATGACCTCGACCATGCAAAAGATGCTGTCCCTGCCTCCAGCCAAGTGAGTACTGCCTCCTTCCGTCTGTCCACCTTCTGCCTAACTCCCGCCACTGGCCCCAAGGCTTCTTGCTGTGTGCGCTTCTATTTTATTTATTCGCTTTGGTGGGACTAAGGCTCGAACCCAGGGACTTGTACATGGGAGGGCGAGCACTCTAGCACTGAGCTGAAGCTCCTGCCCCTTGTGCATCTTTTCAGCGAGTGTAGGCAGATGGAGAGAAGGGCCTGTCCAGGAGGGCCCAATCTCTGTTTTCCAGAGCTACCCTTGGGGCATTGAAGAGATTTTCAGACTACATGGAGGATACAGGCTTAACAGTTTGAGAGATTTCTTTTCAGGATTCTGCTTAATGCTACGATGGGGAGAGCCAGACATTATAGTAGAATTGCACAAAATCCCATCAATGTTCACTTTCTTCTGTGTAACAAATCCTGTTCTTAGGCAGTTTTCAAGGCAGCACTTATTAGTTCTTAGGGATCAGGTTAGTTTCTCTCTCTCCCTGACTTGCTGTTATCCGAACAATGTTGAGCCTAAATAGCCTTGCCTGGCCCCCCGCGTGACATGACAGACAGACTTTCAGCAGGCTCTCTCTTCTATGGCCTGGGACTGACCCACAGCAGCCTGGCGAGGTAGATAAAGATGATTGTGTCTCTGTTTTACTGCTGAAGAAACGGGAGTTTCAGGAAGAAGGTGTTCCTGGATATTTCCTCTATCTTTTGTTTTTGGCCCACACCTGGTGGTGCTCAGGGCATATTCCTGGCTCTGCGCGCAGGGATCACTCCTGGCAGGTTCTGGGGACCATATGGGGTGCCAGGAACTTTGTGACTTGGGGACTGTGTTCAGAAAACCAGTGCTTAGGAATTTCTTCTAAGAGGATTGTCTCCTGGGGTCTCTAGGCAGTGCTTGTGGGTGTCCTAGGACCTGGCAGACAGAGTGCCTGGGCAGGAAATTGAGTGATAAAGGGTGGACTTATGCAGCACTGGAGAGCATCGACTACATGCATTTTCTTTCCTCCTCTTTTCTTTCATATATGAGGACACAGCAGCATCCAAGAGGGCCATAGGGTGCTGGAGTGTGAATAGGCACGCATGCAAAATATGTACTCCGAATCCCAGGCGGGAAAAGCTTTTTTTTTTCTTTAAACTTTGTGAGGGCCACACCTGGTGATACTCAGGGCTTACTCTTCGCTCGGTACTCAGGGGTCACGCATGGCGCTGCTGGGGATCAGGGATCGGACTAGGGTCAGTTGCGAACAAGACCAGTGCTTTAACCTCTAAGCTGTTTCTTTGAACCTCCCTCTCTTTTTCAGTGTCATTTTTTGGCTACACCCAGTGGTGCTGGGGGCTACCACTGGCTTGATACTTGCGGTCTCTCTTGGTGTTATGCATGAGGGTTGGTTCTGAAGACCAAATGCAGAGCACGTGCAGCAGCCCACTGAGCCTTCTCCTCGGCCCGGGAAGGTTTGCCTGTGTATCAGGCGCTATTAATACTTAAAATACCAATAAGGGGAGTACAGTCACCCTTTCCGGCTAGTACTCATATCACTCCCCGTTTTACAGATGAGGAAACTGAGGCTCACAGAGGTAAGAAATTTTCTCTGGATCAGTCATACGAGCAGCGGGGTCAGGCCAAGAGCCTGTTCTGCCCTTCCTGAGTGGCCCCAAGTGGGGGTGGTGGGGCTTGGACAGTGAAGGAGAGAAGAACCGAGTGACGTGTGTCCCTTAGAGTCTGCACATAAACAGTGGCGGGCCAGCAGTGCAGGGTGGTGGCCTGGCAGGCGCCCTCCAGCCGGTAACCCGTAGCCCAGTCAGCTCTGAACGCTTGTGTCCTGCCCACATGGGCGTCTGGCATGGTGTCCCCGTTCTGTGTGACTGTTTCTTTGTTATTGTTGTCGTCCATGAATCTATCCCTCAGGGTTCTGTTGTCCCTGTTCAGATCACTTTTGGCACAACTATAATATTTTGGTTGTTTTTGGACGAGCCCCCAGAGTGCTCAGGACTTACTACTGTCCTTGCTCAGGGATCACTCCCAGCTGGTGCTAGGGGGAGACCCTGTGTGGTGCTAGGGACGGTGCCTGGGTAGACGCTTGCAAGGGACATGCCCTCTCCGCTGTCTTGTCTTTGACCATGATGAGAATCTGGCCATTTCAGGTGTCCTTCAGCAGCACGGAACGGGTGTGGGAGTGCACCCTGGTAGTCACTGTTGACGCGAAGAGCTGCCTGTGCAGCTTGTTTGGTGTGGGGGCTACCCCTGCGGTGCGTAGCGACCACCCCTGGCACACTGCAGTGCTTAGGGAAGGATGTGGCACCAGGGATTGAATCCGCACCTCCTACATGCAAAGCACACTCACTAGCCCTTTGAGCCACGGTCTTGTCCTCTGCTTATGCGGTTTGAAGTGTTAGAAGGTGGGATTCAGAAAGATCAGCCGTTGAAGACAGGATGCTCCCATATAACTAATAGAAACATTAATGTTTATTTTTATAATATAGATTAAATGGTAAAGGATGGGATTCTGGGCCAGAGCTATAGTATAGCGGGTAGGGTTCTTGCCTTGCATATTTCCAGCCTGGGTTTGATTCCCATCCCCAAAGACTGGAGCGATAGCACAGTGGGTAGGGTGTTTGCCTTGCACACAGCTGACTTGGTCGACCCGAGTTCGATTCTTCCACCCCTCTCGGAGAGCCCAGCAAGCTACCGAGAGTATCTCGCCCGCACGGCAAAGCCTGGTAAGCTACCCATGACGTATTCGATATGCCAAACTCAGTAACAACAAGTCTCACAATGGAGACGTTACTGGGCCTGCTCGAGCAAATCGATGAACAATGGGAGGACAGTGACAGTGGGTCTCCCAAGCACTGCAAGGGATGATTCCCGAGTGCTGAGCCAGGAGTACCTCTGAGCATTGCAGGGTGTGCACCACTCCCCGCCCCCAAAACAAACAAACACAAAAGGGATGGATTTTGTGAAGAGGCATAACGACTTGTTGCTAAGGTATTTGCTGTTTGGACAGGGAGCCCGTGGCCAAGATGGAAGGGGGGGTGGCCCCCCCGGCGAGTGTCGGTGCTGCGCGGTTCCGATTCCTTTCCATGAAGAGGACAGTATCTCAGCAGTCCTTCGATGGCGGCTCCTTGGACAGCAGTGGCCCTGAAGACCGGATTTCCGTGGACAGTGATGGCAGTGACAGCTTTGTGATGCTCTTGGAGTCTGGTAGGTGGAAACAGCTGGGCAAGTTGGACAAGCCCAGGAAGGATTCGTTCTGCTTCCTCTGCTTAGACCGGCAGGAGGTAGAAGGAACTGAGATCTGATAAAAGCGATGTTCTCACAAAACAAGAAAGTTTGAGTGGATTTATGACTCTGATTTTCTCCCCGCGTTTTCTAGGTTATTGATTAATGTGTGACCTTTACCTCAGAGACAGACCAAAGAAGAGAATGCTCACGTTCCACCACATAGTCTGTGTAGTAGGATTAGGTTTAATGTTTGTTTGTTTTGGGGTCACACTTGGGGATGGTCAGGGCTTACTCTTGGCTCTGCGCTTAGGAATTCTTCCTGGTGGTGGTGCATGGGGACCATATGGGATGCCGGGGATCAAACCTAGGTCTGCCACATGCAAGACAAGTGCCCTTCCCACTGTATTATTGCTCAGGCCCCAGGATTAGTTTTTTTTGTGGGTGGGGGGTTGGGCCACACTGTTTTCTTTTGGGAGGATTTTTTGGGGGGGCCTGGCAATGTTCAGGGCTTACTCCTGACTCTGCACTTAGGAATTACTAATGGTGATGCATGGAGTGCCGGGGATCAAACCTAGGTCAGGTCTGTGTGCAAGGCAAATGCCCTCCCCGCTAGACTATCTCTCTGGCCCCAGCCACACGTTCTTGGCTCTGTGTTCAGGAGTTACCCCTGACAATACTTAGGGAACCATATGAGGTGCCAAGGATTTGAACCTGGTGAGCCTTATGCAACGCATGTGGCTTACCCCTGGACTATCTCTCCACTCCTCACAGACCCCATCCCCCCGTCTTTTCCCCCCATTGGTGTTGGAATCAAACCCAGGTCTCCACATGCACTTCATCATTGAGGCATGTTCCTGGCCCCAGAGGATTAGCTCTGTGACAGGTGTCAGTGGTGTCCCTGTGCTTGTTGTCTGGTGGTTCTTTCCCCCTATATATTTCATCATTGGATTTCATCTTTTTGCAACACCAGGGATGGACACCCAGGTATGGAAGGCAAGTGGTCCACCCTGCAGTTGTGTCCCTCAGCCACGGTTGGAAACAATTAACAAATAAAACAAATACCTGCCCTGCCTTTATTTTTGGTTTCTGGGCCACACAGGTGGTGCTCAGGGTTACTCCTGGCTATGTACTCAGGCGTCCCTCCTGACCGTGCTCGGGGACGATCTGTGATTCTGATTAAATCCAGGTCAGATGCATGCAAGGCCTGTGCATTATTCCATGCTGCCTCTCTGGCCCTAAAAGTTTTGGTTTATAGAAGTTTAGATTACACTCAGGTGCCACTTTGGGTTTGGGGCTACACTCAGGTACCACTCCTGTTGGTGTTCAGGGGACCATGAGGTGACAGGGTTTGACCCTGGGTCTCCTGCACGGAAAGCATATGTTCCAGCCCATTGGGCCATCTTCCAGCCTTTAATAACTAAATTTTATTTTTCAGCATAACATAACACTTTCCATCCTAACCCCCTTTTACTATAATTTTGTAGTTTTAAGTAGATTCAGATCATTGTGAGGCCATCCATACTCTTCATTTCCAGAGCTCATCATGTAAAAGTTAAACTCTATACTTACTGAGCAACAATTCCTGGGGCTGGTGAGAGTGTACAAGAGGCTCTTCCTTGCCTTGCTGCTTGGACTAGTGGCACTGCAGATCACTCCTTGAGCACCACCAGGGGTCACTCCTGAGGACAGAACCAGCAGTGGGGGTGGGCCAACAACCCCAGGAAAACATAACCCAGGTAACACGTAAACATACGATAGAATAGTCTTAAAAAGGAAGAAGCTCTGGCTCATGCTGCAGTATAAATTAAACTTGTGAAATGTAACATAAGTCAGTCATAAGAAGAAATAAATTTGGACATGCAGTACAGTGGGCATGCCTCAGACCTGGGTTTGATTGCTGGCACTCCGTTAGCAGGGAAGAGTTAGTAAAAAAGAGGGAGGTGGTAAATAGAGAGATATCCCAAAACAAAACAAAAAAAATACATGGTTTATATATGTTTTTATTTGTAGCCCAGACCTGGAGGTGCTCAGGGCTTATTCCTGACTCTACACTGAGGAATCCTGGCTGGGCTCAGGACCGTATGGGATGTGGGGTTACAACCCAGTTGGCCATGTGTAAGGCTAGCATCCTATCTGCTGTACTATCTTTCTGGCCTCAGGATTTATTTATTATTTATTTGCTTTTTTGGGTCACACCCAGTGATGCTCAGGGGTTATTCCTGGCTCTGCACTCAGGAATTACTCCTGGCAGTGCTTGGGGGACCAAATGGGATGCCGGGGATTGAACCCAGGTAGGCCATGTGCAAGGCAAATGCCCTACCCATTGTACTATAGCTCCGGCCACCTATTTTTTTATTTTTATGACTGACTTATGTCACACTCCATAATATGAAAGGGACAATTATTAATGTCAAATTTCTGTCTCAAAAATGTTTATTTATGTTCAAAATTTGATATGGATCTTATTTATGTATTAATTATGTATTTATTTTATTAGTATGTATTTATTATGTGGTGTGCATCAAACCAAGGCATTATTTTGAGAGACTATATTTGAGCAGATATTTTTTAACCTTCCTTTTTGTCTTGTCTTTCCCCTGCAGAGTCTGGTCCCGAGTCGCTTCCCCCAGCATCTCTTCCGAATGTCCTGGATGGCGCTGGCACTCAGGGGAGCCCGGTTGTGGAGAGTTCCGGCCTGGGGTCACCAGAGGCCAACAGCTCTCCCTGCCCCCTCGGTCCCTACCTGGTCAGCTGCTCCACTTCCTTCTGTGCAGAGGGTGGGCTCCAGGCTGGCCGTGTGGGCTCCGCTCATCGCCTTCTCTTACAGGTCTCCGTGCTGGTCCTGAGGGTGAATGAGGTGTCGATGGGGATGGAGGTGCGAGGTGAGGACCTGGCTGTGGCCCTGCAGACTCAGGACCTGGCCCTTCAGCAGCTGGGCACGGTGGGACTCTGGCATTTTCTGCACGAGGAGTGCCCAGGTGAGGACAGCTACCGCTCTGGGAGAGCTGGGGGCTTCTGTGGACTGCCGTCACTGGCACAACCCGCTCCTGGCCCTGTGCCCTTGCGCAGCTGTCCAAGGACTGGTCCCTGCCCTGCTTTCCACCCGCCCCTGGGTGGCCACTCCAGGAAGCTTCTTTCCGAGAGGTCTTTCCGGGTTATGGGCCATCTCTCTCTCCCTCCCAGGGCTGCGTCCACTTTTTGCCTTGCATGACTGATAATGGATACCAAAACTCTAACCTGGCGCTCAAGCAGCAGATAACCTCCCTGCTGCTAGGGGGTTTGCCTTTCATGGGCCAACCTGGGATTGATCCCCAGAGCCCCACTGCGAGTGATCGGAGCTTTGTCACTCAGATTCAATCTTTGCTGTGAGTTAGCATTTATACTTTTATAGATGACAGGAGCAATTTAGGCTTGTACTGCATGCATTTGGTTTGCATTTGCTTCCCCTGCCCTCTCCCCTTCCCGCCCCCAGGGACCACACCCAGATGTGCTTACTCCTGACTTTGTGCTCAGGGATCGCTCCTGGTGGTGCTCAGGGTACCACATGTGGTGCTGGGGATTGAAGGTGGGTCAGCTGTAGATCAGACGAGTGCCTTGCGCACTGTATTTCTCTCTGACCCCCATGGTTTATTTCAAAACTGTTTTTAGGACTGGAGAAATAGCACTTAAAGTTTTTGCCTTGCGTGCAGCTCACCCCTGTTTGATGCCATCTGTTCCCCTGAGCACCACCAGGAGTGACCTCTGAACACAGAGTCATACTTAGCTAAAATTTGTTAATCTGTGTACTTACACAGAGTGAATTTCGTAGTATTCAAGTTACATCTATAAAACCCACTTTTTTAAAAAGGAAAAAAACAGAGTCCTTTGGAGAGATGGTTGAGGGTGCTTGCTTGAGGATCATATGGCTGACCTAGGCAGTAGCTGGGTATGTTCCCTAGGCCTCCCCCAAAACAACAACCCCCATCCCCAAGGAATGTATAAAACATTGAGTAAGGGGGCTGGTGACATAGTGCAGTGCATAAGGTGCTTGCCTTCATGCAGCAGATCGAGTTTGAGCCCTGGCACCCATATGGTCCCCTGAGCCTGCCCAGAATGATCGCTGAGTGCAGAGCCATGGGTAAGCCTGGAGCACTGCTGGGTGTGGCCCCCAAGTGAACCTAAATGTATAAATAACCCTCAGAAAACCTAAAACAAAAAATAAGAAACAATGAATAAATTCTAAAAATATTTACAATCTATAAGGAACAGAAGCTTGACTTGCATATGTGAGACTCTAGGTTTGGTTCCCAGTGTCACAGAAAGACATATATAGGGCAGGGCTGGGGATATGGCTCGAGTGGTAGAATATCTTTAGCATGAGCAGGGCCCTGAAGCCCTGGTGGTGGCACTGTCATAGACATAAAATACTGAGTTGATTCATAAAAACTATGTAAGGTATGACAAAAAAGATAAGACTTTATGGGCCTACCAGCAAGCCTCATGAATAAAACAGTATATGAAACTTCTTGGTCCCTGAGAATTCCTTTCCTGAATCTTCCTTTGCCTCTTACCTGTCACAGAAAATACATTCTGTGTTTTGTGTGTATTACTCCTTTGTGGGCTTTACCATTTTTTCCATGTAAAGCCATTTTTTTTTTGGTTTTTCTGAACAAAATTAGTTTTTGTTACTTTAGGATTGGGGTGGAGCGATAGCACAGCGGGTAGGGCATTTACCTTGCATGTGGCCAACCCGGGTTTGATTCCTCCGTCCTTCTCGGAGAGCCCAGCAAGCTACCAAGATTATCCTGCCTGCATGGCAGAGCCTGGTGAGCTCCCCGTAGCGTATTCGATATGCCAAAAACAGTAACAAGTCTCACAATGGAGACGTTACTGGTGCCCGCTTGAGCAAATCGATGAACAACGGGAGGACAGTGCTACAGTGCTACTTTATGATTGGTTCTTTTGCTCTAAAGTTACATGATATTCTTCAGTTCTTCTAGGTTGTTGAATTGCTCGAGCTCGAGCGGGCCCAGTAACGTCTCCATTGGAGACTTTGTTGTTACTGTGTTTGGCATATCGAATACTCTCGGTAGCTTGCCGGGCTCTCCGAGAGGGGCGGAGGAATCGAACTCGGGTCGGCCATGTTGGCCGCTTGTAAGGCGAACGCCCTACCCGCTGTGCTATCGCTCCAGCTGTAATTTATTCATTTTCACGACTATATTATAGTCTATTGTAAAAATATACTACTTTTTTGTTTATACTTTTCCCCCTTTTTTGGGGGGGTGGTTTGGACCATGCCAAGTTGTGCTCAGGGTTTACTCTCAGTTCCGTGCTCAGGGTCACTCCTGGAAGTTCTTGAGATAACATTTGGGTTGCCAGGGATTGAATCTGGGTTAGCTCAGTGCAAGTGCCTTCTCCCCTGTACTATCTCTCCAGTCCTATTTTTTTTTTTTATTCTGTAAAAACAGTTTTTCTGAGCTACAATTTGAATAGCCTTGTAAGCATATAGTTCAGTCCATGTAGTAAGTTTTTGGAGTGTGTCGCTATTACTGTCACTCTCCAAATACACCCTTAGACCCACTAGGGACAGTTTTTTCTATATATCTTTCATTTTATTTTATTTTAATTTTTGTTGTTGTTGGGCTGGCACGCAGGCAACACTGCCTACCCGAGTTCGATTCCTCTTCCTCTCTTGGAGAGCCCGGCAAGCTACCAAGAGTATTTCGCCCACACGGCAAAGCCTGGCAAGCTACCCGTGATAACAGTAACAAGTCTCACAATGGAAACATTACTGGGCCCACTTGAGCAAATCGATGAACAACGGGAGGACAGTGACAGTGATAGTGACAGTTGTTGTTGTTGCTTTTTGGGTCACACCCGGTAATGCACAGGGGTTACTCCTGGCTCTGCACTCAGGAATTACTCCTGGCGGTGCTCAGGGGACCATATGGGATGCTGGGAAATGAACCTGGGTAGGCTGTGTGCAAGGCAAACGCCCTACCCGCAGTGCTATCACTCCAGCCCGTTTATTTGTTTTTTGGACCACACCCAGCAATGCTCAGGGGTTACTCCTGGCTCTGCATTCAGGAATTCCTCTGGGTGGTGCTCAGGGGACCATATGGGATGCTGGGGATTGAATCTAGATCGACCCCATGCAAGGCAATGCTGTATTATCATTCCAGCCCTGTTTTATATATTTTTAAACCCACTTGGGTTGGTCTGTTATGTGTACACACACACACACACACACACACACACACACACACACACACTCTTCTATCCACTGGGGACAGTCTATTCTGTATTCTGTATATCTGTCATGGTTTGTTCTAAATATGTTTGGACTTGTTACAGTTACTTTGTTTTGCTGTTTCAAGTGACATTGCTTGAATATCCTTGTACATGTTCATACATGCCTCCTGTACATGTATGAAAGCTTTTCAATGGATTTATTTATTTTTATAAAATTGTTAACAATAATTTATTACATTCAGTATTCCAACACCAATCTCACCACCATTACACCTTCTCACCACCATTATTTCAAGTTTCCTGACCACCACCCCAGCTTGCTCCAAAGGCAGATATACCTTTCCACCACCATTACTTTGAATTTTCCTCTCACCACACAAGTCTGCCCCAAAAGCAGGTCCTAAAAAATTAATTTTGTTGGCTCCTAGGTTAAAAACAGCAATCTTCATGTACTTTCCTCTGAGAAACCTTTTTTGTCTCAGTTTTAGCGGATTATTTTTAACAAGCAATACAAAATAAACTTTCGGTTCTGTTTTGGGGGCAAGGTTTGGGGTTTGGGATGGTAGTGGGATTGGTGTTTGAATATTAAATGTAATCAAATATTGTGAACAACTTTATAAAAATAAAATAAAAAATACTAACTTAAAAAATTTATCCAGGCAGTGCTTGGTGGACCATGAAATGTTAGGGATCAATCAAACTGGGATTGATCTAACCTGCATGCAAGGCGGGTGCCTTAACCCTTGCACTATCTGGCCCAGGATTCTGTATTTTAAGAGCTTCCCTATTCATTCAGTGCCTCAGTTGCAACGGGAAGCCAGCTTTATATTGTTCCTTTTGTTGTTGTTGTTGTTGTTATTGGGGGCCACACCTGGTAGTGCTCAGGGGTTACTCCTGGCTCTACACTCAGGTGGGCTCAGAGAACCATATGGGATGCTGGAGATGGAAGGTAGGTTGACTGCAAGGCAAGTGCCCTGCCTATTGTACTACTGCTCCAGCCCTTACTGGTCCTTAATCTCCCCTTTGCCAAGAGAGGCATTTGCCAGCTACCATAGCTAAGTGGCTAGGCCTGTGGACTCTGCAGTTAGACCGCCCATATTCCAGTTCTGTGCTCACTATTAACAAGTAGTATAACTTTAGTTCAGTTTGCTGGGAGGCTATTGCAGGCTCTGTTTGGGGGATCATTCCCAGTGTGTGTATGTGGTGCCAGGGACCGAACTTGGGTCTCTTGCATGCAAAGAACATGCTATAGCCCTGTCAGCCACCTTGCCAGCCCTTGTCCGGTTATTTTTTTATACTCATTTCCGTCACCTCTAAGATAGTGATGACAATGCTTTGGGGGTAAAGTTGTTAAACATATTAAATATATGTGTGTTCAGAGCTGTCTCTGGCTCTTAATTATTTCTGTCTTTCTTCTCAAAGATACAGCCTATGCAGAATCGTCAGTCTTGAAGTCCAGTCACCTTAGGCCAGCTGTGGGCCTTCGCTTTGAGGCGGGGCCTGGTGCAGCTGTCCATTCCCCACTGGCCACACAGAATGGCTTCCTGCATCTCTTGCTTCGTGGCTGTGATCTTGAGCTGCTGACTTCGGTGCTCAATGGCCTGGGGCCTTTCTTGGAGGATGAGGAGATCCCAGAGGTAGTTCCCATGAAGATTGAGCTCCTCGATTCCAGGATCACCTTGAAGGTGAGAGGACCTTTGGGCTTTTACCCTAGACCTGGGCAGGCAAGGAATCCTGGCTGGGACAGCCATTAACCTCTTCCCAGTCACTGTGCGAATGTGGTGAGAACCAGCGGGGGAATGCATGAGCCTTCTTTGGTGGTGTTGGCATTGTGATGGGGGTTGGGGGCTCACGTATGCTGCTGTCAGAAAGTCCAGGATTCAGGCAAATGTACCTTGAGTCTGACCTGTCCATGCCAGTCTGTTAAGTTATTTGATCCTTGGAGCGATAGCACAGCGGTAGGGCATTTGCCTTGCACGCGGCCGGCCCTACCGAGCTGGGTTCGATTCCTCCACCCCTCTCGGAAAGTCCGGCAAGCTACCGAGAGTATCTCACCTGCACGGCAAAGCCTGGAAAGCTACCTGTGATGTATTCGATATGCCAAACACAGTAGCAACAAGTCTCACAATGGAGACGTTACTGGGCCCACTCAAGCAAATCAATGGACAACAGGAGGACAGTGCAGTGCAGTATAGTGCAGTGGTTTAGTGGTTTCACCCTGTCTAGAATGGCGAGAGGCTGAGTTACCAGAACTTAGTACGATGTCTGGCCAGACAGTGACATAAAACATGCTTCTCGGGGCCAGAGTGATAGTACAGCAAGTGGGGCGCTTGCCTTAGCTGACCCAGCTTCTATTCACTGGCTCCCCAGGTGGTCCTCCGGCCAGGAGAGATTCTGAAATGCAGAGCCAGGAGTAAGCTCTGAGCACCGCCGGGCTTACTCAAAAAAACAAAAAAAACAACAAAAACAAAAAAATGCATTTAGCAGGATTGTGAACTCAGTTGCTCTGAGCTTCTGAGCTGTTGGGGGCATGATGTCATTTCCCCTTTCTCTCGCAGGATGACATCCCCCCGATCTATCCCACGTCTCCTGGTCCTGTGCCTATCACTGTGGCCATGGAGCATATTGTGCTGGAGCGGAAGGACGACGGCGTGTTCCACATAGGAGGTGAGGGGGCTGGCCACGAGCGGAAGGACGGCAGCATGTGCCATGTAGGAGGTGAGGGTGCTGGTCGCTCTTTTCTCCTGGAAGGGAAGAGGTGACAGGTGGGAGTTGCTTGTCCCCATGGGCAGCACTTGAATATTTTTAGAAACTTGACTTTTCTCTGCAGCTGCTGCTCAGGACAGACCATCCGCCGAAGCATCTAAAAGTGAGGAGCGGCAGGTCCCAGGGGAGCAGGTGTTTTTGGTACCGACAGGGGAGGCTTTTGGAGAGCAGGTAAGGATCGGCCTGAACAGGCTCTTCCTGATTCACCTCTGATGCTTAAAGTTCACACGCCAGGAGGCCTCGGTTGCTAAGGTTGTGTGTGCTGTGTGCAGTTGGTGGTTTGGGCCCCTTTACCAGAGCAGCAGCTTCTAGAAGTTGAGGGGCAACCGAGGCAAGTTGAGATGTCAGGTAAAAGTTACTGCTTCCCAGTCCCGAGTACTGCTGTCCCTGTGACTGTGTCAATCTCAAGAGGGGTCTCGAGCTTCTTGGCGGTCTGGTTGGAATCGCTTGTTTTTTCACCCCCTCACTGTAACCCTAGATCGGGTGGTCGGGATCACCTTGGTGCGGGCACGGTGTTATTGAGGACTAAGCTCAGGCCCTCACACTCGCCCTGGGTGTTTTCTAAGTCATGGAGCATTTTCTGGGCACTTCGTTGTTGGGGATCCCTGTCAGCCACCTCCATGCAGGCGGCAGCATGGGGATTTGAATTTTTTTTTTTTTCACTTTTTTGGGTCACACCTGGTGATGCTCAGGGGTTACTCCTGGCTCTGCACTAAGGAACTACTCCTGGTGGTACTTGGGGGACCATATGGGATACTGGGAATTGAACCCAGGTTGGCTGCATGCAAGACAAACGCCCTACCCACTGTACTATCGCTCCAGCCTCGGGATTTGAACTATTGACTGTGCATTTGCCAGACAAGCACCTTAAGTCACTAAACTGTCCTCCCGCCCCTGTCTGGCTTTTCTTGATCATTGACCAACTTGTGCATTTTTCTGCTTGAAAGTTTTCCTTTGTTCCCTTACTGGATGTTTTCATCAGCTGTGAATTTCTTACTGCCCCTCAGGAGAAAGAACTACCTACTCTGCAGAAGGAACTTTCAGAAACAAAAGCAGCCCTGGCCAGTGCCAACCAGGACCGGGAAAGACTTCTTCAGGAAATCAGGAAATACAACCCCCTCTTTGAGCTCTGACAGCGGCTCTGCTGTGTGTGCTAAGGAGAGGAAGAGATCACCAGCAATAGTACCACCGAGGGCAGGAGACCCTGTCCGGCGGGGAACGAGTCCGCCAGGATGCCAGAGGGACTGTGCGGGTGCCCGCCTCACTTCCTGTGGCGTCCTTTCCAGGAGCTGTTCTGACCTGGCTGGAAGACAGGGCCCTGCCGGACTGTGTTCCAGCACACCGGGCCCAGCTCTGTGTGTGGCTGCGGCGTCCTGCTTGCTTGCAGAAAGCCTTCCAGCCCTCTGTCCACTCGGTGCAACATTCTCAACACTGTAGAGCCATTTCTGCGCCTGGTTACATGGCAGAGCCATTTGCTTCCTCCTCATCCACGGCGAGACTCCATCTCCTCAGTCATCCCTCCTCGGAGCCACCAAAGATTCTTTGGCCCAGAGCTTCCTGTAGCAGACCCGAACCCGAGAAGCTTGAGCTTTGGCTGTGGCAGTGCAGTGGACAGGAAATAGTCGTGAGACAGGAGGCGGGAGCGGCACCAAGCACCAAGCCTGACTCTGCCTTCTGGGGCAGGGACCTAAGCTCCTGCCATCTTGATGGACCTTACAATCACATTCTTTGGGACTCAGCTTCTCTCTTCTCCTTTCATCCTTGTGCTGCTGTGATTCTAAGTAAGCAATAGCAGTAGGTTGGCACCATCAGTTCCCCTCAGTGACAGTTTGTGTGAAACTTAAATCAAGGAAAAAATACTTGGAGCTAGATTGAAGGCATACCGGGGTCAGGAGAGATCAGCAGGGGATCTTGATTTGGAGCCCCTCTGGCTGTGTGGAGTTCCAGAACAGCCACAGGAATGCCTCAGAGCTACCTTCCCTGCTGGGGCCCCGGGCGTTCTCCTTAGCACCTGGTGGATTGGGAGCTGAGAGGGCAAAGGGTCTCAACCGTAACATAAACATCTCTCTCATGGCCTCTCACCCACCTCCACCACTGTGGCTTTCAAAATCATGTCATTTTAAGTGAAAAAACCCCTTCAAGCCTACCCGGATTCTGCCCTACCCTAGGGAAGAGCTCGATCATCCTCTCTAATACCTAGTTCTTGCCCAGTGCTTCATCCAGGCTGCTCCGCAAAACACTTTGGGTTGCGCCGATTGGACAGAAAGAAGTTCATCAGCAAACTCCCTTTGAATTGGCATGAGAGTAAAATAATGATTAGTTGTGTCACTAAAGTCTTAATCACACATGACCTATTGGAGGATACATAAAATGGTTTCCTTTGTGGGAAATCATGCCTATGTTGTGTTTGTTTAAATTTTTTTTTTTTAGGATTAAAAAATAAGTGCATTTAAGAAGGAAAAAAGATTAACTTGTTCAGACTTACGAAGAACTTCTGTCAATTATTTTTTGAAACCTTGGTCACTGTCAGATTATGATCTGGTTATAGTCTTTCTGGAGAGAACATTAATGAAAAATTTTCTAACATTTGGTTTAACCTTAGTGAGATTTTTCAAAATAAGTAACACTGAAACTGAAATCTGGATATTACAGTGCCATCAAATGGCACTACTTCCAGCAGTGTAAGATAAACCAGAGATTTGAAACACACACACACACACACACACACACACTCACTCACACAGTACATAATGGTATAATCTGAATCACAAAAACTCAGGACAGTGACAGATTCTGTGTGGGAGTAGAAGAATGAGCGCTGCAGACTTGGAGGTAGTGTGCTCATTGAGAACTCGGGAAAGCCACCAGGCACTGCTGAGAGGGAGGGCTCAGAGGATTGCTGTGACATCAGCACTCAGCATACAACAGGGTCAAGCACTGAATTCAGTGATGGCTTCATCTCTGCACTGCCTGTGGTCTTCCATAGCATGGACATGGAGGGGCCCCGGAACTGCAGAACCTTTCAGTGGGCTGGAACTATTCCCACAAGACCGTTCCACATGGCTCCCAAAGAGAGCAGAAAAGGGAGGGGAGTAGTGATAAATCTCTTTAGTCAAGATCAAGGGCATGTGCAGAAGGTCCTGACATACTAGCTTAGGGGTCCACCTCAGAGCCTGGGGTAAATGGAAGCCCTTCTCAAAGCAACTCAGAAACGTTCGTTCCAGTCTTGCTGGCAGAATCTGTATGTGGGTGCAGAAACTTCAGAGGCATCCTTGAACAGCAGCTTTCTGAAAGGGATTACAGAAAAACAGAGCTGCTTGGTGATAAGAGGACAGTAACTATGTCCCTTGACAGAACCCCCTCAGTGCTGCTTTCAAAGGCGAAGGGAGTGTTCAAGAGATGAGTCACCCATCCTCTCAGTATGGCACTTGGTGGGAAGAGGAAGAGCCTGATTGGTTTGAAATGGCATTCTTCATCTCTTCCCCCAGACCCCCACATCCCTCCATGGTATCCTTCTACGAAAAGAACAGACCCACAGCAGGTGCGACTTGGTGTACCTGCATCTTAAGCTTGTGCTTGGCAGGAGGCATTAGACAAGGGTCCGCCAAGCACCAAGGCAAACCCCTTACTCCGAGTTCAGTTGGGTTTCACGGCACCCTGGCACTCATCTTTATGTGATCAGTGGAACCCAAGAATGTCTGTCTTCCTTGATGTGGTAGGTTTGGCCATTATATCTTAAAATCCTCCCTCAGGAAAAGTAGTAGGGGCCAATGTCCCATAGAATTTTTAGTAAAATCACCTTGTATAACTTCATTCACTGGGGGGAAGGAAGACTTTCATAATTGAGAAATGTGAACTAGTCAGTCAACCTTGTGATAAGTGTAAAGGGAAAAACAGTGTCAACTCCTTAGAACTGTTTATGATTTCTGCCTTGGGGCTGTAAGACTGAACAAGAAATACCAATACCTCAAGAAAACTGAGTGATAGCACTGCTATCCTTTAAAGACTTAAGCCACTGCGTATCACTTCAGCTGTGAAGCATTTACAACCATGTGTCATCTGATTACCTAGGTTTCCTGTTTACATGGCTGCAGTAGAGCTGTGTTCTACGGCAAGTGGACCAGTAAATCTCTCTTGGATGAATGCAGGATGGTTATTAATCTCAAAATTTGTTACCAGCTCACTGGAATATTAGAGTTTTGGGCTTAAGACAGAGGAATGGGCTCTAATCTCCTGATGGTGTTTGTGCTGTATATTTAGTCTGACACTTTGCCACCGGCATCATTCTTCATATACTTCATGGTTCTAAATAGTTCGTGTTTATGAACACACAGGGATAAACACCACCCATCACATGCCTCATGGCCTAAAGCTTCCATTTAACCCATTTATATTGGTTTCCCCTTAGGCTAGTTCACGGGTCTGGGAAAGAAGGTAGTCTGAAAATGTGTCATTTTGATATGGGTAGTACTATCCATTCCGGACCTTTACACACAAACACACAAAGATTTTTTTCTCAGGTATTTAATAGACGTCTCAATTTCTAAAATCATTTATAGTAAGAACATAAAAAATATGGAAACAACGGAATGAGCAGTTTCAGTAGCTAGCAGATGCTACCAAATTGCAAATTGGTATTTGAGAATTACAAAGGCTGTGTCACAGCTTTGTGATATATCATTGTTATTTTGAAGTATTTCAAAACACTCTGGTATGTGTTCCCTTCAGAAACTGGGGCCTTCCTCTAACTCTTTGGCCTATCTTTTGCTATTATGGGAGTTCTAGGGTAGGTATGGAGAGAAGCTATAGTTGAATAGGCTATTTCTCCTAGCTGCTCACAGCAGACATATGTGGAAACATTCTTGGAAACCTTAAACTGTGAGAGCTCGCTAACTGTCCAAAATTGGATGTGATCTTTGTCCCTTATTACCCGTTTCAGCTTTATCCTGTCACTTAAATTGCAGTAGGTTGCTGTCACTTTAATTCCTACTAATGTTGAGACACCACTTTCATTTTTTTCCTTCCCAGCTAATTAGTTTTTGGTCACTAATTTGTAGTCCGAGCACTTCTTTATGGGATGCCTACACTGACTTTTCTTTGCTGTTTTCAACCCAAGAGTTTCAACAGAAGATTAATAAACTCAGATTTGCCCAACTTTGTGAGCCCAGCTGTTCCCCCCACTCAGGGTGCTAAGCAGAATTGGGATCTTTTCTAAGACATGCTCCTAAGACATGCTCAGGAAAGCTTCAAAAAAAGAACAATTTCTCCCTATGACACTGAACGATAGAGGGAAGAATTCTTGGGGATTGCCAATTGTATTCAGTAGCCTTATTACTGCTAATCACTGTCAATAAAAGGTTACACCTTTCCCGTCTACTTGAGGAAAACGATGAGAATGTATCTGATTAACTGGAATACTGGTCAGTATTGGGAAAATTTAATGTTGCAATATCTAATCAAACTTTGTGTGTACTGGTTCTGTGAACCAACTGAGAAAAGCAAATTAAACTTATTGAACAATACTGGTTGTGGTATATCTGTTAGCAGGAATTATATATGGGCTTCCACACTATATTTAAGTGCTAAATGAGATAAAACTGAGTGGTTCTCATATAAAATGGGAAGGACTAGAATTTTCACAGAAAAGCCAAGGCCAGTTAGTTTTGTTCTGTTACTGGTTTATTTCCTTCCCAGCTGATTAGTTTTTGGTCACTAAGTTTTAGTCCGAGCACTTCTTTATGGAATGCCTACATTGAATTTTCTTTCCCATTTCAAACCCAAGAGTTTCAACAGAAGATGGTAAACTCAGAATTGAATAATCCCCACCTGCCTTTCTGAGGAGGGCACACCCGGCTGTGCTCAGGGATCACTCCTGGTGTGCTGTGGAATGTGGATTGGCTGCATGCAAAGCAAGTGCCCTGCCTTCTGTGCCATCTCTCTTGCCCCAGTTTCTCCCCATTTTAACCAGCTAGACAGAAAATGAATACTCAAAAGGTAAGTTGGAAAAAAATTTAATGATCACTTACCAAAATCCACGAAGTAGTTTAAAAACTCCCTGGAACAAACTATTCCACCATTCCTGCTATCACCATATTCTTCATGGTAGAGTACCACAAGTCAAAAGTTTCTAGTGGTTTATTCTACCTCAAACCAGACCTAAGAAACCTAAGTCACATAACTTCTAGTTTCAATATGAAACTGCCAATGCTTTCTTGGAAATGTTTTTTCTCCAAAAGCAGCTTCCTTGTCCAGAAGATGGTTAAGGCCTGGCACTGTTCTTCCACCAAGTCAAGAAACAGTTCAAGATCTCAACATGCCCCGCAGGGTTCCAACATGTGAGACAGGCTGCGAGCCTTCTAGGTGTGGTGGTAAGTATCCGAGTTTTGAGGAAGACACTAAAACCTTGACGGAATTCCTTGGAGGACTGTGGAAATCAAGCACCAGTGCAGAAAGTCTAATAGCTCGAAGTCTGGGGCCCTCCTTCCTTCGGGCCTTCCTAGGCTTTGGCTAGAAGAAGATGATTTTCTTGTGTTTCGAGTTGGGGATCTGCCCTTTTGACTTGAGCCTCCGAACAGCCTCCCGCATGTGCTTGGGCTGCAGGGGTGGCATTTCTCCCCACTTCTCACACACGTCCAGTGCTAAATGGGGGAGGAGGGGCAAGGAGAAAGTGTATTTGGTCACAGAAGAGTTTGTGATTTACATTATCCTTTTGACACCTGCGATTCTCTAGGTATGTGCTCTTAGGTAATAAACTAAGGCAAAAATAGGCTATAAAATTATCCTAGCTGTCCTGTGATGTGGTAGACACACTGTAGCTGTAGTGTCATACCCACAACAGGCTTTACTAGAGAAAAACACTTTTTTCTTTTTTTTTTTTTGCTTTTTGGGTCACACCCGGCAATGCACGGGGTTACTCCTGCTCTGCACTCAGGAATTACTCCTGGCGGTGCTCGGGGGACCATATGGGATGCTGGGAATCGAACCCGGGTTGGTTGCGTGCAAGGCAAACGCCCTACCTGCTGTGCTATCGCTCCAGCCCCTAGAGAAAAACATTTTTACTTAAGAACAGGAACTGGATCGTTGGCCTTGGGATCAGCTCCACCACACCACAATGGCAGGTCTCAGTGGCAGCTTAATTGTAATTTTATTGTGTGGAATTACTGATCCTGCTCCTCAAATACAAGGGTCCCTGTATCCACTAGGCCAACCACTAATACAAATGGAAACTGACACCCACAGGTGCCTCAGTAAGTCCAGGGCAGCTATTTCTGAAGATGAGACCTCTGGAGGGTCAGGCCAGTATCTGGACCATTAATACTCACCTTCTTCGACTACCTCCCCGACAAAAACCTTGGAGATACCAGACATTGCAATCACGACATTCTGAGACACGGAAGTTCCAGTGATGGACTGGATCAACTGAGAGCAAGGAGAAAGATGAAGATAGTCAAGGCCAGGTTTGGGAACACGGCATTCATAAAGGATTGCACTGAGAGAGTTTACTAAGGCGAGGTGCTGAAATCGAGACCGTTATAACACAGATTCGGGTGTATCAGGAACTACATAAACTGAGACTCTGACCCAGAATACAAACCCGAAACTGGGCCAAATCATTCAGATGGCTATTATTTTTATTTCCCTGTCTAAATAATGCACCGAAATCAGCCAGGAATCTAGTTCAGTGGTAGAGCACGTGCTTTGCTTACGTGAAACTTTGGGTTTGATCCCTGATGCCTTCACTCCCTGCACCCCCTTGACTCCCCATTCCCACCACACACACATAAAACCAAGCCTATTTGCATAATATCTGACTTCAAAATACCAAAGCATGTTGCTCTTCTAATTACAGTTCAGTTCTCATATGTGGATGACAACAAAGCACAGTGCATCCTTACCCTTTTAATGGCTGCCTTAGGGAAAGCTGACCGGCGATACATTTCATAGCGGTTCAGCTGTTCCTCAGAGAAAGAAGAAACCAGGATCCTAGACAAAGATGCAGATAATTAGGTTGGCTGATGCTTAAGCTATGTTATTTTGTCAATACAAGTGAGTCTCAGGCAATTAGAAAATTATCTTTTAGGGAATCAATAGTCTGGAACTTACGAAGAACCAAAGAGAAAGTGAAACATTATTTTCTTCATCAAGAACAAAAGCTTAAAATTGGATCACTGTACAACACTGTTTATCATATTAGCCTCTCTTCATGACTCATACTACTATTACATTGATGGTAAAAATTTAATATATAAATTTATCTTCAAACAAGATTTAAACATGTTAGGGGACAGTATTTGTGAAATAGATGAAGTTAATACTAATAATATATAATCCTGTAAAAAGATAGTCATACCAGTTTTAGCAAATAAATGATATGAACAGAAAACCAATAAAGATACAGGAAAAACGGACTGGAGATAGTACAGTGGTTCAACCTGATACCATGTGGTGCCCTAAGTATCACCAGGTGTAGCTCTTGGAGGCCCCAGAATCTTGCCACCAGAGTGGCCCAAGTAATCCTGAGGATCATCACATTGATGCCAGTTTGCTTAGCCTGGCATCGTCAGGAATGGCCCACGAGCTCCCTAGAGTACCACTTAGGAGCCCCTATCTTCCCAACCCCAAATCAATCAAACAAACAAACAAAAAAAACAGAAAAAAATAGGTCAGTATTAACTAAAGAAAATGATTAAAACAAATACTTTTTATAAAAGATTTCATTTTTCATAAATCAATTATTAAAAAATAAGTGTTAGTTTAGTGAGATTGGAGAGCACTGAAATATGAACACCAAACAGTGTTTTGGAGAACTAGGAAATGTATATGAAAAACCTTTGTAAAGGTTTGTAGTGTCTTAATTAGCAATTACACTGCTAGGAGTTTACCACAGGAAGTAAATAGTACGTATGTAAACACTCAAGCATATTTATGCTATCAGAAGAGAACCCCCTTCCCAAATCAGAACAGCTATTGGGATCAGTTAAATTATAAATAATTCACATTTCAGCCATAATGATTTACATGAGGGAGCCCTGGGTTCAATCCTTGGTGCCATTTGATGTGTCCCTTTCCACTCCCCCAACACCTCTGATATGACCAACCAAACAAATGATAATTTCTGGTATATCTGCTGACCTGAAAATATTCAGCTGTACATATCAAAATTGGCAGGGGGAGACCCACAAAGCTCAAAGTGTTGGAGTGAATGCTTTGCCTGTGGGGCTCCTAGCTTCCATCCCTGACATAGCATGGCCCATGCTCTTTAAACACAAAGCCTGGAGTAGCCCCTGAGCACTGCCAGGTGTGGGTTCCCACCTCAGAACCCAAAACATAAGAATCTGAAAAGTTCTGTACTTAAGATCCAGGTAGAAGGATTATGGGCAGTTATTGGGTTTCTTTTTCTGGACTTTAAGAGTTATAAACATTGGGCTTTTATATACTTTTACAATTACAAAACATAATGTCTGAATCCATAAGGTACATAGAGGAAAACATGAGCAGAGCTCTCCATGACATTGAAGCTAATCATCTTCAAGGTTGTAACATCACTGACCAAGGAAGTGGAAGCAAAGATAAACAAGTGGGACTACATTAAACTAAGAAGCTCCTGCATCTCAGAAGAAACATGACCAGGATACAAAGACAGCCCATGGAATGGGAAAATTTATTTACCCAACACCCATTTGATAAGGGATTAACATCAAAGATATATAAGCCACCGATAGAGCTTTACAAGGGGGAAAAAAATATCCAACCCCATCAAAAAATGGGAGATGAACAGAAACTTCTTCAAAAGAGAAATACACATGAAAAATGCTCTACATCAGTAATTATCAGGAAAATAAATGCAAATCAAAACAATGAGATAACATTTCACACCACAGAGACTTGCACACATGAAAAAGTAAGAACAGCCAGTGTTGGCAAGGATGCGGGGAGAAAGGGACTCTCATTCATTCTGGTGGTAATACTGATAGGTCCAGCCTTTTTGGAAAATAATGACATTCCACAAAAAACTAGAAACTGAGCTTCCATAATGACCCAGAAATACCACTCCTGGGAATAAATATACGTTGGGGGTCCAAAGACACAATACAGAAAAGTCATCTGCACTCCTATGTTCATTGCAGCACTACGACAATAGTCAGAATCTGGAAACAACCCCAATGCCTGAGAACAGATGACTAGATAAAGAAACTATGGTATATCTACACAATGGAATACTATGCAGCCACCAGGAAAAATGAAGTCATGAGATTTGCTTACATATGGATGGACATGGAGTGTATCATGATGAATGAAATAAATGAGCCAAAGGGAGAGGGGCAGACATAGAATGATTTGCACTCATTTGTGGGCTATAAAAAAAAAAAACAAACAACACAGTATGAGACTAATACCCAAAGACAGTAGAAACAAGGGTCAGGTGGACTGGTCCACAGTTGGAATATACCCCAGGTATATTCACAAGTGAGGTAGAGTGTTAGGGCAAAGAAGGGACCAAAATGACAATGATAATTGGAAATGATCACTCTGCACAAGAGCGAAAGAAGCAAAGTGCCTGCCATAGAGGTAGCGGGAGAGAAACCAAGGACATTGATGGAGGGAAATGTACACTGGTAAAGAGATGGGTGTTGGAACTTTGTATGGGTGAAACCCAATCATGAACAACTTTGAAACTGTGTATCTCATGGTGATTCAATAAGAAAGGGAGATAACCAAAATAAAATATAATAAAATATAATGAGGGGGCTGGAATCATACAGTGGCATTTGATCCCTGGCATTCCATATGGTCCCCTGAGCTCCACTAGGAGTGATTCCTTGAGTGTAGAGCCAAGAGTAATCTCTGAGCATTGCCAGGCATGACTGAAAAAGAAAAAAACATAATAAAACTTCTAAATTTTCCTTTTGGGCTCCTGAGCAGTGCTTAAGGGACTTCAGGGATTTCTGGTGATACACTGCCTCCAGGGCTGACAGCTTGATGCAAGGGTCCAAGGATGGCAGTGCTGTTTGGGTTCTGAGGTGCCAGACCACCCCAGACTGTGCTGGGGGACTGGGTTACCCATGCCACACCCAGTTGTATTGGGGGCCTCCATCGTTACACTCGGTGATGCTGGAGTCAAGTGGTTAGATGCTCCAGCATCTAACCCAGTCAAGTGCCCCAAGTCCTGTGTTACAACTCCAGTCCCACGATTTGCATCTTATTTCTTTATTATTGGATTTTGGCCCATACCTGCTGATACTCAGGGCTTAGTCCTGGCTCTGAGCTTAGAGACCTTTCCTAGTGGGGCTTGGTAATTGAACCTGGGTCAACTGCAAGCAAGACACACACCCGCTGTACTATCTCTCCTGTTCCACTATTTGCATGTTTTCTAAATTTAAAAATTTGTTAAAGATGTGGAACATTTCAGAATTTGAGTGTCATCCTTGTGCAGGGGACTGAGAATCTTCACTATCCTTGCGATCACGCACTGCTGAAGTTAGCACAGCAGCGGGTAGGGCATTCGCCTTACAAGCGGCCAACATGGCCGACCTGAGTTCGATTCCTCCGCCCCTCTCGGAGAGCCCGGCAAGCCACCGAGAGTATTCGATATGCCAGACACAGTAACAACAAAGTCTCCAATGGAGACGTTACTGGGCCCGCTCGAGCAAATCGACGATCAACGGGAGGGCCTTTACCTTTACCTTTACCTATGTGCATTTTAAAGAAAATTATGATCTTAATGCAGAGTTATTCATGGAAAACATTCTCCCCAACAGTGTGAAAATTACAATGAAAAACATCTACCAAATATAGTGAGAAAATTTACAAACAGTATTTAACACCTCTGGAAATACTTGTTTCATTTTTATGCAGAGACATAAATATACAAAAAAAAACCTTGGAAGACCATGTGTTTGAATATTAACAGCACTTATCTTGGGTGATAAACTGTTTCTTATTATCTATATTTTCTTTTTTGTTTTTGGGTCACACCTGGCAATACTCAGGGGTTTCTCTTGGCTCTACATTCAGAATTACTCCTGGTTGTGTTCAGGAACCATAGGGGATGCTGGAAATTGAATCCAATCAGCTGTGTACAAGGCAAGTACCTTACCCACTGTACTATTTCTCCGGTCCCTATTTATATTTTCTATAATGGACATAATGTATTGCTTTGAGTTTAAAAACGCTTTTAAAAAAAATTTAAAGGTCATGAAAAACATATAACTGTGCCAAAATTGACTTACTGCATCTTTTGAATCTCATCTTCATCCACTTTCTGCTTCTTCTCTTTCTTCTCTTTGGTATCTATTTTCAGTTTTTTGGCTGCAGGAGTAAGTAATGATGAGTCTTCCCTTTCAGCTGCTGTTAAATCTGAGATGTCCTGACTCTTGGGCTGAGAAAATGAAAGAAACCCTTTTATGTAACTGGTGTGCTTTCCAGACTGAGCAAGGTAAGAAGCCAACCTCATTACAGCGTAAGATATTTATTCAATTTTCTGATTCTAGACAGTGACTGTACCATCAACATACACTATCTTTCCTAATGCAGTTTCTGACCAGCTGTGGAAAGAAAACCAGCTAAATCAGGATGAATGGGGGCTGGAGTGATAGCACAGCGAGCAGGTGGCCAGCCTGGGTTTGATTCTTGGCATTCCAAATGGCCTCTGTAGCCCCACCAGGAGTAATCCCTGAGCACAGAGCCAGGACAAACCCTGAGTACTGCCAGGTGTGGCCAATAAATAAAAAAATAAATAAAATAAAAAATCAGGATGAATGACTCTGACCACAGCTCGAGTATCCCTTGTAAACAAAGGACAACAAAATGCCAATGACCAGGAAACCACTCTTCTTGAATCCATTCTCTTGATCTCATTCTTTTGGAGGGGTCGAGTCCTTTCATCCAGTTCTTCTGCCTCTAAACCTATATATTTAAGACTACATATTTTCTTGGGGTCTAATGTATGATCAAGTTTTATTTTTATTATTTTAATTTTGGAGGGATCACCCCCAGTAGTGCTCAGGGCTAATTCCTGGCTCTGCACTCAGGGATCATTCCTGGTGGGGCTCAGGGGAAACATGGAGAGTGCATGATAGAACCAGGCAGGCTGCATACAAGGCAAGTACCCTACCCACTGTATTATCTCTCCAGCCTTGTATGAACAATTTATAAAAGCGTTTTTTGTCCTGAGATTATTCATGGAGCAAGCTCTGCTAGCTGTGCTAGGAATCAAACCCAGGTGCTTCAGCCAGGGAATCACTCCCCTGGCTCCTTGAGATTCGTTTAAAGACATTTTTCTCTTCTAAAGGTTCTTTCTATTTCTGACAAACTGGGATCTCTCTATCACTTTCTAAGCAACATTATGCTGTAAAAGGCTCTTTCCATTTACATGATCCTTTCCAGGAGGTGGGTCAAAGCCAGCTGTGCTGGGGGCTAACTCCTGGCTCTGCTCTGGTAGAGGACCATATCTAGTGCCTGGGATCAAACCAGGTTGGCTGCGGGTTCTGCTGCATGCCAGGCGTGTGCCCTACCTGCTGTACTGTCGCTCTGCCCCCAAGTCTATTTCCATTTAACCCCAGACTATTAAGTAGATGACAGTAATAAGATCCCAACATTCTCTCTTTAGAAATGGAACCCAGAGAACTCAGAGATTCTGACTGATCCTCAAATAGGCAACTCTGCTGAGTTCTAGGTTTTTTTTTTTTTTTTTTGGGTCACATCCCGGTATTCAGGGGTTATTCCTGGCTTTGCACACAGGAATTACTCCTGGTGGCACTTGGTGGACCATATGGGATACTGGGGATCCGACCCAGATCCACCACATGCAGGGCAAGTGCCCTACCCACTGAACTATTGTCCCGGCCCTTCTGCTGAGTTCTTTTCTTTGGTCACACCCAGCGATGCATAGGGTTTACTCCTGGCTCTGCACTCAGGACTTAATCCTGGCGGTGCTCAGGGGACCACATGGGATGCTGGGAATCGAACCGGGGCGGCTGCGTGCAAGGCAAACGCCCTCCCCGCTGTGCTATTGCTCCAGCCCCTCTGCTGAGTTCTTAAGGTGACTCAATGGGCTTGGCATGTTACGCTACAGAGAACCCCTGACATTTGCACCCAGGTCGCCGGTAAGAGTTACCCCAGAGGGTAAGGTGGTGACTAAAACTGGAACCCTTTAAAAAAAATCTCCCCGTTAGATCTGGTTAACAGATTTGATGGCCTGTGAGACCACGCTGTGTCTAAGACCAAGTTGTGTTTAGGAAGATTTCAGACGGTGAAAAGCATAGTAGGAATCCTGGCAGCTTTAACTCAGACCAAGTCCAAGTGTTAACTCCGGGTCCCAGTTTCCTCACGAGCAAAACCAAAAAGCTTTTTGCGGGATTCGTTTTGTCTGGGGGCGACACCCTGCGGTGCTCAGGGACCACTCCGGTTGGGCTGGGGAAGACCCTATACGTGGTGCCGGGGACTGACCCAATAGCTGTGGGAAGTCCCCTGAGAAGTAGTTCCTCTCCCTCCGGGCAGAGATAACCATTACTAGCCTATACTCGGGTTTCTGGAACCGCCCCCGAGGTTCCAGATTGCGGGGGGATGTCCCCAGTGCCCGGCCCTCCACGGCTCTCGATCTCGGTCACTGTCGCGCGACGAGGTGACAGCCAGCAAACCCAGCAGCCCGGCGGCCACGCGTGGGCCAGAGGATGCTCTTCGGCTGCTCTTCGGGCCCCGTCGGCGCATCCCTCCTCACCTCGCCCTCCTCGGCCCCGGCTTCCTTCGCGTCCCCGTCCCCGTCCGCGTCCGTCTCCTCCGGAACTCCGTCCGTGTCAGCAGCCCGGGGAGCTGCGGGAGCAGCAGCAGCAGCAGCCGCCGCCTCCCCGGACTCCCCAGTGTCTTCACCCTTTTCCGCGGGAGACTCGCACTTACTCTCCATGGCCGAGGGGGAAAGAGACCACCACAAGCGGCCGGGAGCCCGCGAGGCGCGCGCGCCGCAGGGCGGCCGAGAACGCGCGGCCCCGGTCGCGCGGCGATGACGTCACCTACGGCGCCCCGGCGGGGTCAGTCTGAGGCGCGCGCAGAGGACTTCAGCGCTCCCTGTGGCTCTGATTTGATAGCGGTCGGGAGAGGGAAAATTGAGGCTGTGGAGTTTCAGATCGTGGATTCTCGGTGCTGGAAAGTCAGCGTTTGTAAAGGAGAGCTGTACTGTTTACGGAAGATCTTTCCCACGCCTCCGCCCCTTTCTGCCTTTCCAAAAACGCAACGCCAGTGAAACCCCGTCATTAACCTTCCCAGTCATTTCGGAGACGGGAGAAAAGTCAATCCTCTGTAAATCTGTGTCTTGGGATCCGCTTACCTGCAGAGCCGGGAGACCACCTGGACCCCAGCCTTGTACATTTCAATCGCCCAGAGCCCGCTCGCAGTGTTCACTCGAACTTGCTAGCATTTCTCTTTCGTTCCTCTAGCACCTAAAAAAAAAAAAGTCATTGCTTGAACAGAGTTTAACCAATGAATTTATTCACCCACGACTATTGAGCGCCTCCTCCGAGGCAGGAGCAGTGCCAAGAGACAGAAATAAAACCGTTTCGACTCAAACGACTTTTTCCTATTCACCGGGACTCAAGACCCGGGCCAGTTTCACATACCTGACTTTTTTTTTTTTCTCTTGCCCCTCCTCAAGGGAGAACTCAGTCCCCCACTACCACAAATTATGCTGTGGAGCTCCCCACGTTTGGGCGAAATCGCAGGGGTCGGCGCATTCGGAGCGCAATGGAAAAGCCTCGCCCTGGGGAAACCGCCTTCGTGACCCTCACACATGACTCTTTATGGCAGCCTGGCTGGCTAATCTCATCAACGTAAGGAAGCGAATCCCATGGGCGCGAGGTCTTTCGTGCAAAATTCCGTTTGAACGAGCCACGTCAGGAACTGGGTGGGGGGCACAAAAAAAAAACCTGGGAATATTTCTATTATAAAAAAAAACAAACCCTCTCCTGGACCCAGCCTTGTACATTTCAATCGGAGGGGAGCGTTTTGTTCACCTCGACCCCTAACTCCTCACAACCATTCCCTACTTACTTTAGGATTATTGAAAGGGTAGGCTCGGAAATGTAGGTGCGCGTTACCACATTTCTTTCTTTGTTTCTAACGGCCGGAATAAATTACCGTATTTCCCGACCCGTGGGCTCCCCAAACCTTCGGACCCCGGGGGCACACTTCGGAGGCGCGTCCAGGTGGACCCCGCGTGTTCCCGTCCCACCTGTACGGCAGGTGCCCGCCCGACACTCCGCCCTCTGGCCAGGTGGCCTCTCCGGGCATCGCGAGTCTCGGCCCGGGGTGGGCCGGAGGGAGCCACCTGCGCCCGCCGCAGAGCCCCGCCCCGCTAGGTGGGCTCGGGGGCGGGGCCCGGGGGCGCGGTGACGCGTGACGCAGATCCCGGAAGTGACGTGCCGGCGGGGGGGAAAAAAGGCGGGGGGGAGGGGGGTGGTGTCCCCGGCCGGTTTGGGGGGTGCGTTGCCCGGAGACGGAAAGTTTGGGCACCGGAGCGGGCTCCGCGGCAGCCCCGGGAGAGGGGGGTCCAGGGGGCGGCGGCGCGGGGGATGGGGAAGGAGCAGGAGCTGCTGGAGGCGGCCCGCACCGGGCACCTCCCGGCTGTGGAGAAGCTCCTGTCCGGGAAGCGGCTCTCCTCAGGCTTCGGGGGCGGCGGCGGCGGCGGCGGCTCGGGGGGCGGCGGCGGCAGCAGCTCGGGGGGCGGCGGCGGCGGCGGCGGCCTGGGATCCTCCAGCCACCCTCTCTCCAGCCTGCTCAGGTGGGTAACGCGCGGGGGGCCGGGCCGCCGTCCGGGGGAGCCCCCTCCGCGCCCCTCTCGGCTCCCCCGCGCGTCTCGGTGGGGGGGTCGGCGGCGCTGTCGGGGCTCGGGGGGAGCCGGCGGGCGGGGTCGGCGGGGATCCCCCTCCTGGGGTGGCCCCGGCGGCGAAGAATGGTGGGAGTGCCCAGGTGGCAGGCTCGCCGCATGGCAGCGCGCCTCGGGGTGCCAGCTGTCGCGGCGCGGCGGGCCAGCCCCGAGCGGGAGAGCCCGACGGACGCCGCCTCGCGCCGTCGGTCCGCGCCCCCGGGCGGGCATCCCCGCCCGCGCCCCCCGCAGGAAACGCGCCCGCGCCCGTCTCCGCGGGGAAACTCGGAGCGTCCCGCGGGGACCCGGCGGGACCCGGCTTTTGTTGTGTCTGTTCCCGTCGGCTCGGGGTGTCTGGCGCCCCGGGGCTCCCCCTCGGAGCCCCGCTCTCTCGTGCCCACGGCTGCGCCCGCGTCGCCGTCGCGAACCCCGTTGGATTCGCGTGTGCGGCGGCGCGGGCAGAGTCCCGGGGGTGGGGTGGGGGTTCCTGCAGGAACAAAGCTGCGGAGGGAGAGCCGCGCGTTCCAGGCGGGCGCGGAAACTTTCCCCCAGGTCTGCAGTTTGCATAAACACTTTAATCCCGGGCCGCGAGGATGGGGGGAAAAGGTCGCCTCTGTGGGGATTTGGAGGAAGGATGGGGGGGGGGGTGCTTTGTCAGGGTGCGTGAAATGTGTTGGTTCAGCAGCGCTTTCATAGCCTGTTCTCTTTTCCTTCCTTGTTCTTTTGAGGTGGTTGGTGTTTTTTTTCTTCTTCTTAAGAAGTGGAAGTTCGTTTAGAAATGGCTTCGTTTGCTTTTGTTCCCCATTAGTTTGTGTAACTTCACTTTGAGTGAGCCAGGATCAGAGAAACCCAAGGTTCTATGAGAAGATTGTTGGGTGGCAAGTGCTGGGTATGAACCCGGGTGTATATGGAATCAGGGGACGTTTTCCCCGTGAGCTGCTTTTGTAGGAGACCAAACCCTCAGTACTGTCAGGATTTCTCCCCTCCCTAGAACCGTGCTGCTGGGTGATTGGTACTCGGGATCAGCTGAATGAGTAGTGCCAGAGAATGATCAATTTCTAAAGAAACTGATGGCCTTGCTGTGGTTGTTAATTCAGGGACTTGAAACATCCCCAGTGAGATGAGATCTGGCCCAGAGTGGGGCCAGGAAGAGGACTCGAGTTGACTTCCAGGGTTCAAGGATTTGGGAAGATGAACTACCCTGAGAATGTTGCACGTGAGCCCCTCATGAGCAGAGTCATGAAATTGGGAAAGATTTGGTGGTATGGGGCTGGAGTGATAGCACAGCAGGCAGGGCGTTTGCCTTGCATGCGGCCTACCCAGGTTCGATTCCCAGCATCCTATATAGTTCTCTGAGCACCGCCAGGAGTAATTCCTGAGTGCATGAACAAGGAGTAACTCCTGTGCATTGCTGAGTGTGACCCAAAAAGAAAAAAATAAAAGATTTGGTGGTGAGTTCTGAGTAGTTGGGCCCAATTTCGGGAACTAATCATGTTTGCCACACTTCCAGTTGTCAGTGAGTCCCATGGTCGGTACCTGCCGACTCACAGGTAGGTGCTCAGTGTCTGCTGGATGCATGCATCGGATTTTGAATTTTCCCTGTGTTCCTTTGAGGCTGCTGCACTTGTGATGTCGGAGAAGGGGAGGAAGACTTGGGGAGTTTGGCGTCGCCTGTCTGGAATGAGATGAATGAGGGCAGCAGTGTTTGGAGTTTTGCTCCATACACCTCTGGGCTGGAGCGATAGCACAGCGGGAAGGGCGTTTGCCTTGCATGTAGCTGACCCAGGTTCGATTCCTCTGTGCCTCTCGGAGAACCCGGCAAGCTACCGAGAGTATCCCGCCCGCACGGCAGAGCCTGGCAAACTCCCCCTGGTATATTGGATATGCCCAAAACAGTAACAAATCTCACAATGGAGACATTACTGGTGCCTGCTTGAGCAAATTGATGAACAACGGGAGGACAGTGCTATAGTGCTACACCTTAGCCCCAGTAGAGCCTGGTGGGAAATGAAACTTTGACATCATCCCTGCCTTCAAGTACAGATCCGGTGGCTCTCAGTGCTCATTTGGAAACTTGAAATTTGACTATGTAGCTCTCACGTAGTTAATTAAATATGATGTAGAAATCTTGGTCGAACACCACGATTTTACTATGGGCCTCATACCAATATATCCAGTCTCTGTTGGCAAGAGTGGACGGTGTCTCCGTTCTGTGCACAAAAGAGCTGACGGCTCCGGACTTGTTTCTGTGCCTGCTTTACACAGGAGTACTGCCCAGGTCTCTCATCCCAGACACTCCTCGGGGCAGGGAGGATCTGCAGGCGCTAGTTAGAGCAGGCGTGTCATTAATTAGACGTGATGCTACTTCAGCCTGGCGAAAGATTTCTGCACAAATGAGACCATGCATTTAAATAATCCTAGGTCAGCATGTCCTCCATTTTTGGGGTTGGATATAGGGTGCCCATGCTCTCCATCTCTAGGACTTCTAGGAGTGTTTTTCCAAGAGTTGCAGAATCCAAGCTGCAGATTTGGCCACTGAATTGCCTACCCTCACGAGAACCACTGTCTACCTTCTCTGTTGATGGTTTTAGTGAGCAAGTAAGTAAAGCCAGGCCGGGGCTGGAGCTGTGGCCGGAGTGGATATGAAATGTTGCAAATGGACACTATGTCTATTCATTTGTTTTGATAGCCTCGTCCCTACCTCCCCCTTTTACAAAATCTTTGCTTTTCATGAATCACAGGCAGTCTTCTCCACTCCTTCCTTGGTATCCTTCTGAAGCCCTCCCTCATCACTGTAATGCACACAGGTCTCTCCAGCTCCTGCTTCTTTGAAAGCCATCATTGGAAGGGCACAGAAACTCATCAACTCATTCATACTTTGCTTGCCTAATTTTGGCAATTTGTGGTTTTGACTTGTCAGTAAACTTTTGACATTTAGTGACCCTTATCAATTGAGAATAGGCCTGAGGATCAGAAAGTCGACAAAGAAGACTTCTACTAGGAAAAGAAAAATGGTTTGAACTTTACTTCCATCCAGCACCTATTTCTATGGATTTAGACAGTATATTTTTGTACTTCAGAGCTCCTGTTCTAGAATCAGCCCTCAGTCAGCCCAGATTCCTGTTCCATTGCTGTTTCCTGCTTGAGTTGCTCCAAATGCAATCCCTTTAAGCTTCAGTTCCAGCACCTGTAAAGTGGGCACTATCTGATCTGCATTATTGGTAATTTGTCTTGGATAGTGTATGTGTAAACCAAATCCTGGCGCATTGTAAGTGAGCACTGTAAACTGTTTTGCTTGTGCCTCTCCCTGCTTTGCGCCATGTACTGTGCCATGCTCATCTTAAATGCTGTTCTTTCATGCTGGGGTGTCTGCTTTCCAAGACAGGGCAGATTAGTAATAGTAAATAAGGGAGAAGACCTGCTCAGGCAGGCACATTAATGCCACTCAGTTGCCAAATGTATACCGATCATCTCTTCTTGCCAGGCTGACTGCTAGTCACATTGCAGAATTTATCTCCAACCTTGCACACAGTTGATGCTCTGTCAGAATTTGCTCCTCCCCTGACACATGGTCTGTTCCCTTACAGCATTTATGGGGTGGAGGGGTATTTGTATATTTTTACAACAGATTGGTAAAAGATAGAAAAAGCAATTAAAATCTAGCCTAATTTTCCTCACTCTCCAGTAATTTAAGACTAACATAAGGATATCTCTGCCCTGCGCTGCTTTGTTTAGGTCCCAAGCATCCTTGTACTATAGCTGAGTTCTACATTTCTGTTCATTATTGCTCTTAGCCATCAAAACAATCATTTCTCTGTCTCTCTCTTTGCCACGTCCTGGCAGTGCTCAGGGTTTGCTCCTGTTTCTACACTCTAGTCTAACTCGTGGCAGGGCTTGGAACCATATGGGGTGCTGGAGATTAAACCCAGGTTAGCTATTTGCAAGGCAAGCGACTTAATAACTGCACTATCTCTCCTAGCCCTGAAAATCAAATTTTGCTCATGAAAGTAGGAAAGAATGATTTCTATTGAAAATGATCCAGAGATTCATTTTGTTGCTGCATATGGGGCTGGCTTACAGGCTAGGGTGCATGCTTTGCAGGAAGGAGGCTTGGGCTCTTTACCTGGTACTGGTCCTTACCTGGTCCCTTGAGCACTTCAGGATGTACCTCTCTTCCAAAGGAAAAGATATCTTTTTTTTTGTTTGCTTTTTGGGTCACACCTGGTGATGCACAGGGGTTACTTCTGGCTCTGCACTCAGGAATTGCTCCTGGCATTGCTCAGGGGACCATATGGAATGCTGGGAATTGAACCCGGTTGTCCGCGTGCAAGGCAAATGCCCTACCCGCTGTGCTATCACTCTAGCCCCAAAGATTATCATTTATCTAAGGTGTCTAGTCCACAAGTTAAAAAATAAAAAAGGTGTCAGAGCAATAGTACAGTGGGTAGAGTGTTTGCTTTACAAGCGACCGACTTGAGTACCATCCCTGGTACCCCCTATGGTCCCCCAAGCCTATTAGGAGTGATCCCTGGGTGCAGTTTCTGGCACTTCCCCCACCCCAATTAAGTGTGTGGTGGTGGTGGTGGTGGGGGCATCAGAAAACTTACCTAAAGGGCCTAGGTATGTAGTGTAACAGTAGAGCACTTACCTTGCATGTGTGAGGCCCTGGGTTGTGTTCCTGACACTGCCCCCACCTCATTCAAGCAACGATTGAGTCCTGAGCACTGCCAGGTGTGGCCCCAAAACAAAACCCTGAAACTCAATAATGAATAACTTTGTAATCTCATGGTGACCAAAAATGTAAAAAATAAAAGGGGAGGGGGAGCACCCCAAATTGGAGTTTGATATGGGTAGTTTGATATGCTTATGGTTATCATAAAACTTTATTTCCAGGAAAGCGACTTCTCTATGAGAGT